CGCAGGTGACAACCTCGCTACGGGCAAGGTTCCAGCTGCAGCTGAGCAAAGACGAGGCGGAACAGTTTGTGGAGACGGATCTGATTGCTAAGTCGTTGGGAAGTTATTATACACGACTGTAAGTTTTGAAACCCCAATGATGGTTGGAGAGAAAGAGAGGAGCGTAATGCTAACGAGGGTGAAAAAACCAGTTACGATACTTTCCAGTATAGGACGCAGGGGATTTACTAGACAGGTCTTGAGGACCTCCGAAGAGGATCAGGTCCGTGATGGATGGCACTTGGAAGGGGGATGGAAATGTCGGATGAAAGAAAGCATCGGTAATGGGATGGAAAGGAGACGGGATGGAAATACCCTTCGTTTTTAGCTGAGGGCAAGGGAGGATTTAAACGTATATATCATTGTTCTTAAACGTTGGGAACGGCAAGTTCAAACGCACATGGGGGAACAGAAAGGAAGAACCAGAGGGGGAAGGAAGAAGGCGAGAACAGAAGTGGTAAATTTGAGAGTTCAATCGATTTAAGAAGGGGCATCTCGGCGGCGTTTACAAAGATTTATTATGATGGGTGCACTATACTAGTTGCTATATAGCGGATTACATCCATGTGTTTACAAACTCTTTGGGTTTATTCTGGTGAGTTGTTCTATAGTCTTTGCCTTTTCGTGTCCTTCTCACCCTTTGTTCACCCTCTTTTCACCCTCTTTTCAACTTCTCTCAGTCGGTCGTCACTTCCGATATCCCTAAAGTAAATGTTCGCAAAGCACCTGCCAGTCACCACACTCTCACATCACCTCCTTCGACACAAGACCTCAGGTGCAAGTGCTCAACAGGAAACCGAAGGACTACGAAATCCCAATTTCCCATTACATTACTTCCTTAAATTCCCCCCCCCCCCTTCCCATCACCCCCTTCCCACCCAATAACCCCATCACATCCCCCAAAATTCCATTCCCCAAAACATGGGTTTTCCTGCCCCTGCCATGAGCAGCTAGCTTTCCAGTCCCTTTTCGATTTCCCATTTCGACTTCCTGCATCTCTGCGGCATGGAGAGCTTTTGAGGAGGAGTGAAAGGTTTAAGATGACTCGGGGGATGGATAATATGGATGTGTGGACGGGTAGGTAAGGTAGGTAGGTGGATCAAGGACACACAAAGTCCAGGCAGACAGACGCCATCCGAGCGGGATGTTTGAAACTGGGGTCATTATTCCTACTTACGCAGTTGATGGTACACAACACAAAAATCCTTCTTCGGAGTCAGCAGCCTCTAAGTCCGAAAGGTACCTACCTTTGAATGTGTTTGTTCTCGCACGGTTTTTCGTACAGAGCGTTTGAGATAACTCAAATTAGAGGTACTCAACTCGACTCGACTCAATTCGACCCAGCAGCTCAACTCAATTTGAGACCACCCACCCAGTACGAGTTACAACTCATCTCGAGGGTCCCTCCCGACTTGAGTTTGGCGAGTTGGCCGCCTTCTTTTTGAGTATAAAACCGGTCGTATGAGGAAGGTTCTTTATACGAAAAACCGTACCAGTACCAGAAAAAAACGCAGTCTTTGTGTGTTGACTTGGTTGTATCTATGCCCGTGGCGAACGGACTCGTAGGTACGTATAGAAGACACATGGTGGCCAGTAGTGAAAACGCCACGGCTACTTTACTTGAGCTTCACACTCACCATTTCGAAGAGTCCTCGAATTTGAAATAAGCTTCAATGACCATAGATCGGACTAGTTGCCTTTTCTGGAGACAGTGAGTGGTAGTATGTATGTCAGTCTATGAGTGGACTTGCAAACCATGTCTCGCCTCGCCTTCCATGCGCATAAGCTGAGGTTGCTTCCCCGGGCTGACAGAGATGTATGTGGTTCTCAAATCCGGAAGGATTCTGCACCGTGAATCCTTCGAGATAAGATGACATGATAGCTCGTAAATCGGCCGCACAACGTTCGGTCCTCAGTAGCATGATTGGTATGTATCACCATCATGTTCAACCTCGGAAAAGCATCCATCTATCTTCAAGTGAGCCGGGTTGTCGAATGGGGAAAAATGACTGGTCTGGGAGTGGTTGTGCAAAATTGTCTGAAACGACTTTCTTCCAACAACAAGTCTATTTCTTGATAACACGGAGCTTATTTTGTTTGCACAACATTTATCCCGTGCTTGCTGGAACAGAGGCCCCTCCACACACCTCGGCTGGTCGTTAATTAGTCACTTAGTGTAGTAGCGCAAAGAGGACTGCCAACGCGACTCTGCAATGCAGAAGGCTAATATCCAGAGGATGGCAAGACTGGATAGCACCGCAGTCTCAAGCGGCCGAATTGGGAAGGGGTCGGCTTGATCCCGTCGGGTCAACCACTCGGTTCTTTTCCATGGACTAGAAACCCGACGGGAGGCTATATTGCCTGGGTATTGGTGCAGGAAAGTTTTGAATTGCTTGCCCCTTTGAAGAGTCATGTGCTGCTTGGCTTCGTTGGGTGATGTTCCGCTGTTGCAAGCAGATCAAGGTTGTTAACGACCATGTATTGTTTGTAGCGTCGTATTCGTGCAACAAGCTTAAAGAAACAATAAACGGGCAGTTGATGGAATCGAGCAGTGTAACCCTCTCCTGGTTGATGCCTGGCCTTTTGTGAACAAAACCACGCCTTGCGCACACCCTCTTGCTGCTCCCGCCCAATGTGACGCTTCAAAGGCAAGAGAGCACGACATGGGGAGGATGTGAAGTATTGCAGATTGTGGCCCCTCTATGCCCATATGCGAAGCGCTTGCAACGTCAAAGAGAGTTGGGCTGTGTAAGAAAATAGATGTCGAGGAGAAGGACGGAACTAAGCAAGGCGAGAGTTGATGAAAACGTGCTTGAGAAAGAGATGCAATCTGGGGGAATATCTGGGGGTTAAGTGTCACCAGTTTTCACCAATCCCGGCGTATTCTCGGAATTTCGCACCCTTTGAACACTCTTAATAGGCCGCTGTTGCATTCGGTCGTCGACTGTGCGGTTCATCACACCGGATTTTGAAGGTGTTTGGTGTAGGAATGTTGACAGCTCTGTTGAGGCTCTCCCTCGTCTTCAAGAGCTCAACTCTGGTCTTCCGGTGTTAGCGCTCCCCCATATGGTTAGGCTGATGGTAAATGTCAAAACTGCCACGAGGTGAGCGGCAGCAACCGTGGCGTCGGAGTTGGAGAGACAAGATCCATGCTTGACCCCCAGGACACCTTCTCAGGAGATACCCTGGCTCCCTGGTTCGCCAGCATGGCCTGTTTGAAGCTTATTCTCTCCACGACTTTGCGGGCACAGAGAAAGTGGACATCAAGATGCTGTAACAAAGGAGAACCCTACCAGACTTATAACTGCTGGCTCGTCTACCAAGGCAATGATGCAGGTGAACTTCGCGGCGGTGCACTGCCAATGCAGACGCACTGGAAAGGACGGAAAGTTGCAGCAGCATTCAACATGGAGAAATGGATGAGGTTCAGTTGCGGTCTGCCACCGCGGACCAATCACACACAAGACTCGGCTGTCTTTCCAACGAATCATCAACAGCCTAACGCGGGCGATCTGGTCCATGTTTAAATCTTGCGCAGGTCAGTATCGAATCGGTTCGCCAGACGTGGGCCTTTTTGGTTCCTGCTGTTCCTGCTGGCCAGCCCCTTCTCCGCGGTCAATATATCTTGGTTAGCATGGTCTCTTACAAAGAGCTTAGTATTGACACATCCCGCTCACAATGCCCCTATTCCCGGCCGAGGTCCTCTTGTCTGTGGCTCTCGCCAGAACAGCTGTAGATTTCAACAAGACCACGCCATACGCAGTACACACCCAATATTGTTGTGTGGCTGGTCACGAGAAGGATTTGGCTGCAGCGTACAAAGAATACTGCTGTGGTAATACGGACAAAGATATCTTTACGCAGAGTTCTGAGAAGAGTCAGCGGGTGTAGTGTACAGAAGGTATCCCTGCTCCCGCCATTCATTCGACGGTTCCTGAATGGACGTTGATGCCCCGATCAGCTCAATCGGAGTTCACCCCAGTGAGCCCGCAATGAGCTCAAGCACCGGAGACGTTGAAACGCCCAGGGGCCCAGCTGGTATAACCCCATAATTGACACCAAAAACGCTTTCCCACCATGTGGGCCGCAGATTTTATGCTAGACTTGTCATGGCGATCCTTGATCCATATCAAGACAAGTGCCGCTTGCGAAGCCGAAGTTGCAACAAATTGCCCCAGAGACCAACGCTCAACTTATTGACAAATACACAATCACGAACAAGGCCTGACAGGCACATCTGTGGAAGTGAAATCCTGGGGTTGATACACCATCTCCATCCCCTCAGGCTCCCATCCCCGTCCATTCAGGTAAGCCCACTTACATACACCCCATACAACCACACCAATAATCAGCCAGCCTTTCCTTCCGGGGTGCCGAGAACCGCTCCAAGGCCCCCTCAGGCTCATCCTCTCTCTCTACCTCACTCTACCCAGCACTTTACCAGTCATATTATCACGCAAAACTCTGCATACTTGCTACCATTTGACTGTCTCTTCTTTCGGCCAGGGACATGGACACACCCTGAGCCTCCGATACTGATTCACCGGCACGCAGTGACCCCCTCCCGTGCCCCTTCTCCGCCTGGCATCTGAGAATAGGTACAGTCTCCAGTACAGCCTAGATCGAGGAGAAGTGGAGCGGTGTCGTTGCTAGTTTCTTGGGGTGATTGGAGCCGTTGGAGCCTTTCTGGAGCCCCTGCTGGAGTCTTTGGAGTCTCGTGGAGCCTCCGGGGCAATAAGTGTGGAGTTCGCCAATTACTGCATCCCAAATTCCTCTGCTGAAAGAGCCCAAGAGCCCCCGGATTGCAAATCACCATCCTTGACCTACGACAGCATCCCAGCTTTCCGTTCCCCGGCTTCGTTTCAGTCGGTGCTACCTGACTTCGATCAGATCCCGCCGTAAGTCGACTTTTTCTGGCGAACCGGTCTGCAAACTTCCATTTCTTTTTCCCTCTTTCCCCAATGCCACCGGCCGATTCGCAAGCTCTTAACAACAACTTTTCATCCGACGACCTCGACTTTGCGCCCGGCGGTGACACCCACGGTCACCCGCCGCACTCCGACCCTGCCGCCTTCCAAACCCACCCTCTCGACAAGCTGGATACCTCCAATGACGCGCTGGGCAGCATCAATGCTGCCCACGATTTGGTCGATAACCATTTTGCCGATTTCCAGTTCCACTACGACGACGACTTGGATGGCTCGCCCATGGCCGGCCTTGGCTCCACTGCTTTCGACGACCATGCCCCCGATGTGTTCTCGACAACTTCCCACGCACCGTCCATGAACTCGATCACGGTACAGACGTCGACCTATAATAATAATGGCGCAAACACCGGGAACGGCGGACAGCGGCAGCAGAGCATGGATATGTCCGAAAGCAACACCCCGGATAGCAATCAGAATGCCGGTAATTCGCTCGAGGAAACAGTAGATGAATTCGGCCTTGTGACTGCTGGCTCTGTTGATGGCTCGGCACCAAAGGCCAAGGGGGACAAAACGGACAACACGCCCGCATGGAGCGAGCTCAAGACGAAAGCCGGAAAGGAACGAAAGCGTCTTCCATTGGCTTGTATAGCATGTCGACGCAAGAAGATCCGGTGTTCCGGCGAGAAACCCGCGTGCAAGCACTGTCTCCGATCGCGAATCCCGTGCGTTTACAAGGTCACAGCCCGCAAGGCCGCACCACGAACCGACTACATGGCTATGTTGGACAAGCGACTGAAGCGAATGGAGGAGCGGATTATCAAGATCGTACCAAAATCTGAACAGGAGGGTGCCTCTAACATTACCAGGGCCGTGGTCAAGCCTGCCATACCGGGAACATTAAACAATGTGAAGCAAGCCAACAAGAAGCGCGTTGCTGACGAAGCATTCGGCTCGGATTTGGAAAATTGGGCTCGCGGGCCTTCAAAGTCCAAGATTGACGCGCCAAACAGGACCGCTACGATCCATATCCAGGAGACCGAGGAAAGCAAGCTATTGCTGGAAGGCGGGGATGCGTTGCCATCCAAGGAAATACAAGAACACCTTGCCGAAGTTTACTTTGAAAACATCTATGGGCAGGCCTACCACCTTCTTCACAAACCGAGCTTCATGAGGAAGCTAAAGTATGTTCCCCACTCCAGACATGTTACTTCATATTATCTAACAACGTACAGGGCCGGCGCTTTACCCCCCGTCCTAATTCTCTCTATCTGCGCCGTCGCGGCACGTTTCTCGAACCATCCGAAACTGAACTCAAGCCCGAATTTCCTCCGCGGCGAAGAGTGGGCGGCCGCAGCCCGCGATATAGTGACAAAGAGATATGAATGGCCCAATATCACCATTCTTACATGTCTGCTCATTCTAGGTCTACACGAGTTTGGCACATGCCATGGTGGCCGTAGTTGGGCATTGGGTGGCCAGGCCATCCGTATGGCTTTTGCACTGCAGCTTCACAAAGACTTGGAGCACGATCCTGTACGACAAGCAGGGAAAACACAACTCAGCTTTATCGATCGCGAGATCCGGAGGAGGACCATGTGGGCATGTTTCCTGATGGATCGCTTCAACTCCTCAGGCACAGACCGGCCCACGTTTATAAGAGAGGAGACGTTAAAGGTCCCGCTGCCTATCAAGGAGAAGAACTTCCAGTACGACATGCCAGGTCCAACTGAAACTCTGAGTGGCGAGGTGCTGGAAACACTTCTAGAAGACCAAGATGCTTCAATGGCCAGAGACAACCTGGGTGTTGCGGCCTGGATGATCAAGGCAATTGCTCTCTGGGGTAGAATCATCAACTATCTCAACCAAGGAGGCAGAGAGTTGGATCCTCATCCTATGTGGAGTCCCGAATCCGGTTACGCCAAACTCATTAAACAGACAGAGGATATCTTGACCGACTTACCTGACTCTTTACTATACACACCCGACAATCTACACCTGCACGAAACCGACAACATGGCCAACCAGTTCTTGTTCCTTCACATCGCGATCCAGCAGAATATTTTGTTCATGAACAGGTTTGCCGTTTCGTCCCCTCGGGGTCAACCGGAACAGGAAATCCCCAAGGCTTTCGTAACGAAAGCGGGAGCCAAAGCATTTGCCGCTGCTAACAGGGTATCAGAGCTGTTGAAGGATGCTGAATCACACTTTGTGACTGCTCCCTTTACAGGATACTGTGCCTTCTTATCCAGTACCGTGCACATCTTTGGGATTTTCTCGGGTAACCCTACACTAGAGGCAACATCGAAGCGCAACCTGGCTACCAATGTCAAGTTCCTATCCAAGATGAAGAAGTACTGGGGCATGTTTCACTGGATGTCAGAGAACCTACGGGAGCAGTATCGGACCTGTGCCGATGCTGCGAGGCAGGGAACACCAGCAAACGAGAACCCGACATCCATCTTCCAATACGGCGACTGGTTCGATCGTTATCCCCACGGTGTCTCGCAGTCCGACTTCCTCGACCCCGCCACTTACAAGAAGAAGGAGAAAGGCGACGATGCAGTTCTGGAACAGAAGCCCGAGCTGCACACAGTCGAGGAGTTCTTCACCACGCTCTCCCCACAAGCCGGCGGTGGCGACGGGGGCAGCGTGAACGGGTCAGCAGCATCACGACAACAGCAACAAGCCCAGCAACAACAACAACTCAAGCGCAAAGCCATGGCACGAAAGATCAGCGGCCTACCACAGCAGAACCACCCCAACGGCCTCGACCCCATCCAAACCGACTTCTCCGCACATCAACAACACCCTCCACCAACCGCCGAACAAATCCACTCCGCCCGCCTCCAACACCAACGCACTTTCTCCGGCGCCGGCCCCTCGCCCATTCAAACTAGCGGTCCCGGTGCCGGCGGTGGTCCCCCGGGATCCTTCAACACGCTCTCCGTCCAAGCCCAACAACAAGCGCACTTCTCCCCCGTCTCCCCCGTCGGCGTCTCCCACGCCCACCTCTCCCATCACCACCCGGCCTCTTTCTTCCCTCCCGACCCTTTCTCCCTCCCAGCCCACCTCGGCGCTGCTCACGCCCACGGCATGAGCCACCTAGACCGACAACTCGTCTTCGGCGCGTACGGCGGTCCCACAGCCGCAGGTCTGCATCATGAGCCAGGGCTAGTAGGCGGCGGCGGCGGTAGCGGAGCTGGCGGATGGGGAGGAGGAGGGCACGATGGGGATGGCAGCGGTAGGGATGGGTCAGAGGGGGGATTGCATGCGGCGTTTGCGAACGAGCCCAGCTCGGCGTGGTTCATGCCGTTTAATATGGAGCCGCCGGAGATTGGGGCGGATACGCTCGGCGGGCTTGGAGGGGCGTTGGGTGGTGGGGGGTTGGATAGTTTTTCGGGCATGTTTGGTGTGGGTGGTGGTGGAGGGGGAGGTGGAGGTGGAGGGGGGATGGGTGGGATGCATCATGGGCATTGAGTAAGGGGAACGGTTTTGGGAAAGGTGATGAGTTATGAGTGATGCTGTCAAGCTATAGTATGGTGGAAGGGCGCGAGCGCCGAATATGGATTTGGAAATCGCTCCTGGGTTGGATGACGGATGTGTATATGATACCTTTTTATAATTAGTTCTCTTCGTGTGTTTCAACAGACATAGGCAGGCGTGCGGGAAGAGAGCAAAGCAAAGCAAGCGATGAAAGAGCGAGCGGGCGGGTCGGTCTTTTTAAGTTTCTTACCTACAGAAATATTTCTCTCCTGGGTCTGAGATTTTGGGTCGGGGTATATATAGGACACAGGATAGGATTGTTCACGGTAGGAATGGGTGTATACCAGATAAATACCACGAAGACAGATTTTCAACAGATATGGACCATGGTTTTGAACAGCTAGGGAAGATTGATCAGATACAATAATAGTATACCCAGTCACCACGTATGCTCATAGGCTTAGATGTTGGGTAGATAGATGTTGTGAGGGTTGAGGTGAGGTGAGGTGTGGTTTTGGCATATACATGGAACTGCTTTATATGTGGACTTCCTGTGATGAGGTTGTCGTTGGGATTAAGTGTTGGGTTTGGAGACTAGAATAGCTGCTTTAGATGGGCAGAGGAAGTTGGGGTGTTGCTGTAATGGATCTCAGGCCAAACATCGCGAGGTTAGATGAGAAAAAAAAAATTCGGATCAGAATGAGAAAAACAGCTTCTGAGCGAGACAATGTCTAACCTGAGAGCCGAAGATGAAGTGCAGAGTTATGAGAAGAAGCATCGAGCATTGATATATAGCAAAAGTCTAACTTTGTATAATTCTCCATAACACCACGATGCAAAGACGCCCTAGAATAGACTAAACAAAACAAAACCCTGAACAAACAAACAAACACAACCACCACTTACTGCCAGTGAAGCACTCTAGGCCTCAATCTTCTCGCCGTCCTTCTTGTTCTTGCTCCTCTTCCTCTTCTTTTTCCTCTCTCCCTCGATGATATTATCCGCCCCTTCGCTGGTAGCAGTCTCCTTCTTCTCTCCCTCCTTCTTCTCCTTCTTTTCGTCCTTCTTCTCACCACTACTCTTCTTCTTCTCATCCTTCTTCTCACCCCTCTTCTTAAGCTTAACCGCGCCAGCATTCGCACCACTGCCCTCATTCTTATTGCCAAGGGGCGTACCATCCTCGTCCAGCGCGTCAAACCCAAACGTCGGGCCCGTAGCTTCGTACTCCCTGCCAAACGTGTCGCGACGCCACTGCCTGAGGCGGGCCTTCTTGCCGAGCTTCTTGCGCTCCTTGCGCTTCTTCTCGGCGTCGCGGAAGGTGGCCAGCTTCTTGAGGCCGGCAAACTCGTTGAGCGCCGCGTCCGAGGGCGCCAACAAGATATCGCGCGCCGTCATGCCGAAGGACACGGGCGACGTCTCGCGGTAGCGGAACGGGAACAAGTTCTCCTTGTACTTCTTGTCCTTGGGAGCGGAAAGCGCGCGGGGGGCGTCGAGTTCCATCTTGGTGTCGACCAAAGCTTCTAGCTTGGCCAGCTCGGCCTTGGCTGCCTGCTTGGCGGCTTGCTTCTCCTTCTTGATGTCGGCGGTAGTCTTGCGCTTCTTGGAGGGGCGGCTTTCGTCTTCGTCGGCGGAGAGGTCGGAGCCGAGGTCGGCGTCGTCGTCTTCGGCTTCGGCTTCGGCTTCTTCGCCGTCGGGCTTGGCGATGTCCAGATCGGAAAGGACAACGTCGGGCACGTCGTCGAAGTCGGGGATGATGTCCTTGATGTCGATGTCGTCGTCCCACTCGGGCTTCTTGGGTAGCTTCTTCTTCTTCTTGGATTTGCCGTCCTCGTTGTCCTCGTCGTCCTCCTCGTCGCTGCCGGACATGTCGTCGTCCGCCTCGGCGTAGTACTCCTCGCCAAACTGCTTGCGCATCTCCTCCTCCCACCGGTCGTTGTCCCAGGCGTCCTCGAGGAACTTCATCCATTCCTCGTCGGACAGCTCCTTGCCGGTGAGACCGGCAGCCTTCCTGATCTTGGAGAGTTTCTCGGCCGCCTCGTCAATCTTGAGACGACGCAGGCGAGCGCGCTCCTCCTCGCGCTGCTTCTTCTCGGCCTCCTTGCGCTCCTTCTCGAGCTGTCTCTGCTTCTTTCTGCCCGTGAGCTCCTCCTTTCTGACGGACTTGGCGTTGGCCAAGTTACGCGAGTACGTCTTGAGCAGCTCGTTGCTCTTGTTGGGATCCTCGAACCGCATGTTGTAGGCGTGCTCGAACTCCTCGGCCATCTCGGGGAAGTTGTCCTCGCCCTCGTCGGACTCGAAGGCCTCCCAGCGCGAGCCGTCGGCGGGCGCCCAGGCCTTGGACTGCATGAACTTGGAAAGGAAGTCTTCGGGGTTCTTGTCGGCGTTCTTGACGTCGAGCTCGCTAAGATCGATCGCCTTGGCGCGCGACGGGTGAACGCCGTTCTCGGTAGGCGCCTCGACCTTCTTGACGGGCTTGATGAAGGCGTCGTCGTCGCTCCACTCCTCGTCTTCGCCGGCAGCGGCGTTGATCTCGGACAGAATGTTCTGCTTTAGGTTGGCTTGTTCCTCGGCGTAAGTCTTGGGCTTGGGCGCGTCATCTTCGTCGGCACCGATGTCACCGGCCATGTACCTCTCGCGATGGTAGTCGCGCAGGGTCATGGTCTTCTCCTTCTTCTCCTTGACGGGTTGGCCCTCGGCGTCGACTGGCGTGTAGAAGACGGCCTCCTTGTCGTAGATGCGGGGATCCCTCTTCTTGATGGCTTCTAGGGTGGCGTTGATTTCGGCGTCGAGGTCCTCGGTGACAAGGAAGCCCTCATCGTCCTCGGTCTCGTCCTCGGAAGAGTCTTCGTCGTCCTCGTCTTCGCCTAGACCACCCTCCTTCTTGGACTTGAACTTTTCCTCGAGACGGTGGAGTTCCTCGCGCTTCTTGTTGTGCTCGAAACGGCGGGCGTACTCCTCGTTGATCTTCAGGTCGGCAGCAGCGCTGCTGAGGGTGGCACCTCCGTCCTGCTCGTCTTCGCTGGAGGCATCGTCGTCGAATAGACCCTTTCTAGGCACAATGGGGTCCATGTTGGCGCCTGTGATTCTGGCTTTCGCCGCTTTTGACTTTGGGCGAGGCATCTTGAGGTCGGCTGGATTTGAAGATGGTAGGGCGAAAGGGTGCAAAATCAATCCCGGCGCATACAAGACGGAAGACTTTCGACTTTGACGCCCCCAAAATTTCGTGAACTTTTTAGTGGGGCCCTTCTGGAAGTTGATGTCTGGTTGGAGACCGTTTTGCCTGCCACCAGCTAACGCACGACCCACCCTATGAGACTATGACCCTTGGCGTGGAGGGGAAGTTGGAGTCCACTCACAAGCGAGGGACATGGAGGACAATGCGACGCCTGCCCGTGGCCCGATGCCTGGAGGCGTTCGTCGTGGCACACTTGCACACTGTTCGCTGCACCAACTGGATCCTGGCTTTCCGACTGGAACAAGCTCCATCCATTTCATTGCTGTCGTCTGCCTATCACGTCACTCTCCGATTCCCAACCCGTCAACGATCCATCTTCAAACATCTTTTGTCTTCCAACAGGCACTCGCCCAACGCTCTCCGGTCAACCACTGCTCTGTTGTTCCTTGCTGTAGTTCCTCGCTGCCGCAAGCCCCGCCGTTTCCACAACCCATCCACCCAGATCAACGACAATGGCCGATACGAACGCGCCCAAGCCGAGCAGCAGCGTCAAGTTGGTGCTTCTGGGTGAAGCTGCCGTCGGAAAGGTGCGCATTCTTCGGCTGCTCCAAAGCCGTCTTAGCGAGAAACACAAGCCTAACATGTCGTTTCACAGTCGTCGCTTGTCCTCCGATTCGTCAACAATGACTTCCAAGAGAACAAGGAGCCCACGATAGGAGGTACGATTCTGAATCCATGGCGACATGCCCCAGACTAATCCAACTAACATTCATCTGTAGCCGCCTTCCTAACCCAGAAGTGCAACCTGCCTACGAGGACGATCAAGTTTGAGATTTGGGATACAGCAGGCCAGGAGCGCTTCGCCTCTCTGGCGCCCATGTACTACCGCAACGCCCAAGCCGCCCTTGTTGTCTACGACCTGACAAAACCTACTTCGCTCATCAAGGCCAAGCACTGGGTCGCCGAGCTCCAGCGACAAGCGTCTCCCGGCATCGTTATTGCGCTCGTGGGTAACAAGTTGGATCTGACCAGCGACTCGGCCGGCTCTGCCGAGGTTTCCGGAGACGGCGACGACACTGCGGAGGATTCGGGCGACGCTCGCAAGATCTCGACCGAGGAGGCAAAGACATACGCCGAGGAGGAAGGTCTCTTGTTCTTCGAGACTTCTGCCAAGACCGGACACAACGTTACCGAGGTTTTCACAGCCATTGCGAACGCCATTCCCGAGACGTCGTTGAAGAGCGCGCGTGGGCCCGGTGCCTCGCATGCCGGCGTCAGCCGCACAGAAGAGCAGAGGGTCAACCTTAACGGGCCGCGGGATGCCAACGCAAAGGAAGGTTGCGCCTGCTAAGGGATGATGGATGGATGGAGGGGGGAATGGAGAAGATATTGGACGGACGATGCGGATATTCCACCAACAGTGGCCGTGGAAGGGGACACTGATGAGTATGAGGGCGCCCATCTTCCGGTTGACGAACAACAGAGAGAGCTTTGCATTACAGACGGGTTAACGGAGTGGCTGGTCACATTGGGCGGGTTTATACGGAGTATACTTGTTTTTCTTTTTGATTTACCAATTTCCATTTCTTATCATCAAACCACGATTTACAGGTCCAGCAGTAACAGGTTAATGGTGTTTGTGTCATATATCCTTGCCTTGGAGCGGTTCGTTGCGTGTCGGTCAAAGTGTGATACTGTTTCTTGATTCTTCCATACTCTGGAATGCCACATGACGATTTGAAGACGGGAGATGGAGGCCTTGATGGACATGTCATATTGTGAGCCCAGAGATGAAGTCGAACCTTGTGTGATGACAAGAGTATGACTACCTCAATCAACACCGTTAAGTGAAGACTACTCGTCAGTAGACCTATGATAGTCAATACAAGGGGACTGCGTGCATGTGAATGGCTTCACTACAAGCTACAGTCTGATATCTCAAGTATTCAACTCGGTTAATCTCGTGAACGACCTGATTGTTCTCTTGGTTAACAGCCTCGGCCACTGCTACATCCTCTTGTGCTGTCCACTGCGTGCTACATGCTCAATGCCAGCTGCGATGTATTCTACTCTGCTGTATGTATCAAGTGGTCCGTACCTTCCTTAACAGCCCAAGGTTTCCCGCCTTTCAAACCTGCCTAAGCGGTTAGTGGGGTGTTAGACAGCGGAGGCACGTGCGCGGGGACCCGCCAAAAAATCGCATCCCGCCCCATTCGGTTTGAACGCCGAGAAAACGCGACACCACCAGAGTCACTTCCACTTCAACTTGCAGCAGCAAGATTCTCCTCACCTCACGGATTCGCCTTTTGGGCAGAACGACCTCGACAACGCACTCTCTCGCGTTATTGAGAGACATTTGCGCCTCTTCAATCATCAAGCCTGCTAGGGCTTCGACAACGTGAGCTCCGGCTTGCCTTTTTTCGCAACAAGCAATACCACCGAGCAGCATTTGATGCGATAGCGATCGCGGATTACATCACTCAGCGATATTTCATACCTTCCTCGGAAGACAGGACGCCAACGAGCGCCTCTCCATGTCCTTGGACTCTTCATTCCTACACCTCCTCTACCTCTAGGAGGCCGGTTGCGCCTAGGTTGAAGCGCAGGAAATCGCAATGGCGGCCACGATCTCAGAAGAGGCTCTCGCCGAGGTCATTAGGTTCGTCTCTCCTACCCCGCCATCTCCCGGCAGATGGCAGATATGCTGACGACTACAACAGAACTCTGAGCCCAGAAGACATCCCGGCGAAACTGAAATGCGCCATCTGCAGTAGATTGGCTGCGAATGCCTTCAGGCTGCCCTGCTGCGAACAAACCATTTGCGAAGACTGCCGGTCAACACTACCTACCTCTTGCCCCGTATGCGAACACTCGCCGCTCTCGGCGGAAGACGCCAAACCTCACAAGTCTCTACGGACCACCATTAGAGTCTTCCTTAAGACATATTTGAAGAAACAACAAGACGCACGCGCCAGGGAGTCAGCCCCTCCCACTCCCATTGAGTCGACACCGGTGTCTACCACGGCACCACAGCTACCTTTGCCCAGCGATTCGGTGCCTGAGGAACAGGCCCCAGCACCAGAGCACCAGCAGCAGCCAGAAGAGCCTGCGCCGGCGGCTGATGAGCAAGGTGCTGGAGAAGAACATGCAGGAGCCGAGGGCCAAGAGGGAGAAGATGCTCCCAAGGTAGAGGGTGCTGACTCGGCGGACCAGGAAGCCGACCAAGATGTAAGCGAAATCGGTCAGATACTGCTGGCCATGACCACGGGTAACTGACTAGATGACAGGCCACCGAAAACCCCGCCGAGACTGCCGCCGAAGAAACAACAGCCGACGGAGCGCCCGCCGAGGGGGAGGGTGACGCGACCGAAAACCCTGAAGAGACAAAAGACGGCAAAGAGAATGAAGAAAACGCCGAGGGCGACGACGCACAGCTCAAGCCCGCTGGAGGATTTGGATTCGGGATGAACCGCTTCCCGATGAACTTTGCCGGTGGCTTCGACCAGATGCAAATGATGATGGCCATGCAAAATGGCTTTCCAATGATGGGTTAGTTCGCCTCGATATGTGTTCCTTTCTTCCAAATCAACCAGATAACTAACCACCCGCGACACAGGTATGCCCGGCATGAACATGGATCCGATGAGCGCGATGCAGCAAATGTACATGAACGGGGGTTTTTCTGGCATGGGCATGAACGGCATGAACATGGGAATGGGAGGATTTAGCGGCGCAGGCGGCAATGAATCGAATAATAACTGGAACGGGCAGCAGTCATCATGGAATGTCGGCCAAGATAATTTCAATCATCCAAATGCTTCTGGCATGGGCAATGGTGATTATGGCTCGTTTAACTCTGGCTCCTTCCCGCAAGGCAACTTCAATCAAGGTAATTATGGCAACGGCCAGTTCAATGACTATCGCCGGGGTGGATACGGATTCCGTGGCGGTAGAGGACGTGGCCGGGGAGGTTACGGCGGCGGCTATGGCGGTCGTGGCGGCTACAACAACGGCTACGGCAACATGGGCGGCATGAACGGTCCGATGGGCATGGGCGGCAACTACGGAGGAGACCAGAACTACCCGAACCAACAGTACGGGGCAGGCATGAGTGGCTCCATGCACAACGGTGGTTTCCCTGGCGGCAGCGTCAGTGGTGCTTCTCAAGATGGCAACAACGAGAACAAAGCCGAGGGTGCTGCAAGTGCTGACCCGAACGTGGACGAGTTCGGCCGCTCGTTGCGCGAAGACACTGGAAAGAAGGAGACCGAAGATGGCGATGCTGCTGAACAAGATGCTCAAGGAGCTGACGGTGAAGCGAAGCCTCCTGCTACTGCTGAGAGTGATGGTGATGCCGACAACGCTACCACTGCACCCAACGGTGATGCCACAAACCCCGATGCCGGCGCGGAAGGTGATGAAGGCTACGCCCACAATGGCTACATGAACGGTGGCCCTGAAGGCATGTACCCCGGCGACGGCCCCGGCTTTATGGGACCTGGCGGCTTCGGCGGAAACATGGGCTTCAACAACGGCTGGAACGGCCCTGGAGGATTTGGCATGGGTATGGGAGGTGATGGTTACGGACCCATGGGTGGCATGATGCCCCTTGGACCTCCCCAACCCCCGCCGGTTAACCCGGATGTGCCCGCCAATGCGCCCAAGGGCCCCAAGGCCATGCTGAGAGGACTTCCCAACACCAGTATCAAACATCTCCAAGCTAGAGGCTGGGTAGATAATAAGAACAAGCCGCAAACGCCCAACTCCTTTGGCCACGGCGGCCCTGGTTCGTCCCATCATGGATCCCGGTTTGCTAGCCCCTCCGCGACCGCCGACCGAGGCCGGTCTAGGTCCCGGGATAGGGATGATGATTACCACGGCGGAAGAGATGACAGGGACAGGGACTACTATCACCGTGAGCGCTCAGATAGGGACAGAGAGCGTGAGCGCAGAGATCGCCGTGAGAGGTCATACTCCCCCGGTGCCGATGAGCGCAAGGAACACCGTGACCGACGCAGAGAAAGACGTCAGCGCTCCGCTAGTCCCGGTGGCGCTGACGCCGCTAATGGCGCCGAAGGAACCAACAACGATGGCGATGACCAACAACACGGCCACTCCAGCAGCAGCAGAAGACACAGGAGGAAGCACACCTCCGCCACCGTAGCCGACGAAGAAGGCGGCAACCAGGAACGTTCCCGGTCCGCATCCCCTCCCGCCCCCGGCGCTGCCGGCGAAGAAGCATCCCGTCGGTCCCACCGCAGCAGCCGTAAGGAGCGTGATTCGGAGAAACGCCGCGACCGATCCGACCGCGATAAGGAGCGTGACAGAGAGCGCGAGTCCCGTTCCGACCGCAAGGATCGCAAGGAAGGCCACAGCAGCAGCCGCCGCGACCGCGACCGTTCCGACCGGGACATCAGAGACAGCGGCGGTCGCAGCCACCGCGACGATCGCGAGCGGGATCGCGGCGACAGGGACCGAGACCGCGACCGGGACCGTTCCGACCGCAAAGACCGTAAGGAAGGCGGCGGCCACGGTAGCAGTAGCCGCCGCGATCGTGACCGCGGTGATCGAGGAGACCGTGAAAGAGATAGGGACCGCAGTCACAGAGATGAGCGTGACCGTGATCGCGACAGGGATAGGGAGAGAGATAGGGACCGCTCTGATAGACATCGCTCGTCTAAGAAGTCTTCTTCTTCCAACAACCACGACGCCGACGGCACTGCTGCTGCTGCTGCAGATGCCAGCGGAGTCCACCCCGATCGGCGCTCCTCGCTTGCTTCTTCCAACAACGCTGCCGGTGCCGGTCCTGGACCAGCAGCCAACGGCTCTCTAGACCCGCACGCCGCCGAGCGCGCCGCCCGCGATCGCGAGCGTTTGCTCAAGGAGACGAGACGGATGGCTAGTCTTGCGTCGAGCTTTAGTCTGGCGGGTAGCAAGCGGAGTCGGGAAAGTCGAGGCGGCGGCGGCGACAAGGACGAAGAGCGGGAGTCGAAGAGCAGAAGAAAGGAAAGTGGCAGCGGTAGGACGGCCAGGGGAAGAGGAGAAGTGGTCGCCATCTCGATGGAGGATGAGGAGGAGAGAATGAGGAGGCTGGAGGCGGAAAGAGAGGCGGCGAGGTATGATGATTAGAAGTCTACTGGTCCGTCAGAGAAAGAGAAAGAGGGACAGGGAGGTCAGGGAGGTCAGGGGCTGGGACGGAGGCCGAGGCTTAAGATCGGGGGGTTTGCAGCTGTGGATCTGGCCGGTGGGACTGGGGCGCAAGTGATACCTGGCGCCATAACAGCCGCAGCCGGAACCGCAGCCGGAACAGCAAACCCACTGATGGCAGGCACGGCGGCGAGGGGTGAAAGCACAGATGGGAACGGCGATAACGACCTTGAAGAAGGGGAGATTTTAGAGGGAGAGCAAAGTGACAGCTAAAGACCCAGGAAGAGAGAAAGAAAAAGAAAGCGAAGAGGCAAACCGAGTGAGGAGAGGAGGAGGGCGTTGTGGAGGGCAAGGACTGGAAGGAAACAGTGAGTGGAAGTAAGCTTTCAAAACATGGCTGGCTCTTGAAAGAGTAAACTTGAAGCTGGAAAGGAAAAGACAGGGGACGAGAGAGAGAAGCCTGAAATTCAGCGGCAGAAAATGAAAGGAAAAAAGTAAAATGAATCATCAAAAAGAAGCTCAAGGGACAAGCAGCTGTTGTACGTTTTATGTGTTGTGTCTTGTCTTGCTGGCTGGCTTTTTTCTTGCGTTGCTTTTGTTGTTGGTATGATCTCCGCTGCGTTGTAGTTGTTGTTGTCATTGGTCTTGGTCTTTTGCGTCGAAGACTCGAATGAAGGGGGTGCGTGAGTTGGTTGAAGTGAACACCAAACCAAAAAAACGTCCTTACATGACGTTCAACTACATTGCTATTACGAGACACGGAGGAGGGTAACTGGTCAGTTATGGGAGAGAGACAAAAAGACAACGCAGAGAAGGGAAGTTGCTGTACATATCAACGAGGTTGGTTGTGCGTGGATATGGTAGATGGGACATAACTGGGTCAGGCGGTTTGCTTGTTGTCCTTGTTGTCGTCGTGGTCGTCGTTGTCTTTACTGCAGTACAGATCAAGTACATAGAGGTAGGTAGACAACGTTTGTTTGGTAACTGTACTATACATGAATAAGAACATACTCTTAAAGAAGCCCGCTGTAGCGGTGTATTGTTCGAGTGTCTTGTTCGATTGTCTTGTTCGATTGTCTTGTTAGGTGCGTGGGTGTATGAATAGTTCATAAGGTTTTCAGGTTGGGTCGGACTCCTGAGCAGCGACCATATACCTAGTCTAGAGGTAGGCAGCAGCCTTAATAAACTATTCATCGACTAGGAAAAAACACATACGACCATACCCACTGGAAAACTCGGGATCCCGTCCGCTCTCCCATAGATAAGCCAGTGAGGGGCAGCTTATATATGGGAGTTGGAAGGATATGAACCGGGTCTTTTAATCACGTGGTAGGGTCAAAAAACTGAACAACCACCTCCCATATCCATAATCGTTCGGACGGAGGCAAGACAGTGAGTGGGGAGCCGGCGCTAAAAAGATGAATATAATTGGGCCGATTACGAGACAAGTTGGCCGTCCTGACACTGCGGCTAGCCCCGTTAACGTTTGTCAAAATGCAATATCCGCGGTATAGGTATACTAGCACAATTCTCAGTCGCGGCCGTACAAGCTCCTCTTCCAGTAGCTGAATTGTGGAGTTCAACGAAAGCATTTCTTTGGCAGTATGAACAGCTGCTTTATGTCTTACGCCTACAGGTCCCAAAGGAAATGAAAAGTAAGGCATCAATGCATTGTCCGCTCAAGGACACTGGTTATCACAACGCCTTGGTTGTTGACAGCAACTGGCAGCCTAGGCTCTACTGCAATTTGCAGGTTCCATTTGGATTTACAGCCCTACCCGCGCCACGCTCGCTGCTTGGTACACTATTGCCAACCCTGTAGACCCCGTGACGGAAAGCCACGACCCTCGCCCAACCCAGGCAATTGGCGTGTAATTGGGAGAAAGCCGCCAGCCATCTCGCGCCTAACAAGGTGACAACGCAGAGCCCTATGCTCCCTCATACCCTCGAGAAAACACAGTGTTCTAGTTTCTTTTCCTTGTTTTGTCCTAGATGGCAGGAGAGAGGAATTCCCGGCGCTTTCATAAATTCGATTCATTAATCATCAACCATAGCATCCTCACCACAGTCAAGACGTTTCTTCCTCAAAGCTACGATGCGTCGACGATTCCGCTCGTGGATCCCGACGCATTTCAAGCGAGACAGAAATACGGAGAGTAGAGAAGGTTCTAAGGACCAAGAGCAGTCTCGCCCTGAACCTCTGCTCGAGTTGCCGACGTCTACACAGCACATCCCCGCTACTCCCTCTACGTCCACCCCACGACCCTCAGCTGCTCCAGCTACCAGTTCCACCGACGTAGAGACGTCCGCCTCACGGTTCTCAGCCGCTCCAGCTACTGGTTCCGTCGACATAGAGACGTCCACCCCACGACCCCCAGCCGCTCCGGCTACCAATCCTACCAACACAGAGACGTCCGCTAGCGCAGATGACACTACTACCAGCTTACCCGTACAGCTCTGGGATCGTGCCTATAATGAGCTTAAACAAGAAGAGGTCAAATTAGTGGACGCATATGAGAAGATACTGTCCCGACAGCTACAGGATGGCCCCGGCTCAACGGTGCCCGAGTCCCAGCCGAACACCATCGCCCAAAACACCTTGGACAGGCGCTGTCAAATGACCCAGCTTATCAATGCTGGCCTAGCCAAGACTGAGAGGGAGGTCAAGGTGAAAGAGAGCCTTGGCGTGGCTGTAGATGTCGTTCTATCTGCAAAGAACACTATAAGTGCGGCAATCCAGGCCGTGCCCCAAGCTGCGCTCGCTTGGACCGGCATTTGTATCGCTTTAGAGGTATGTCTACTTGGAGCGTGGTACTTCACATGCTAACTTCTGCAGATATTCATCAATCCTATAAAAGCGACCGAAGCCAACCGCAAAGGGATCGACTACGTTGTTAACAGAATGAACTGGTATTGGAATTTGTCGAATAGCCTTCTCAAAGATCCCACCAACAACATCAGCGAACTCGATGGAATGAGAGGCGAATTGAAGATCCAAATTGTTGGCCTCTACAAAGCGCTCCTCTCTTACCAGATTAAGAGTGTTTGTGCTTATTATCGCAACCGCGGCTTAGTCTTTCTGCGGGATATGATCACGCTTGATGACTGGAAAGCTAATTTGGGGGCTATCCGAGAGGCCGAGAACTGCTTCCAAAACGACGCCCAAACATACAACAATCACCAACTGGCGTCTGATGTTAAGCAGCTCGTTAGCTATGCAATGTCAGAGAAGGACCAGCAATGTCTAAAGCACGTACGCCTTACCGATCCTCGCCACGATAAAACCCGCATCGAACAGACTAAAGGCGGCCTTTTGCAAGACTCGTATCGTTGGGTCCTCGATAACGCTGACTTTCAAAAATGGCGTGACGACCCACAGCACCGACTGCTCTGGATCAAGGGCGACCCCGGCAAAGGGAAGACTATGTTGCTGTGCGGCATCATCAATGAGCTGGATCAAGGCAATACTGCCAACGCGCGCCACTGCAATGTGGCCTACTTCTTCTGCCAAGCTACCGACTCTCGTATCAACAATGCAACCGCCGTATTGCGCGGCCTAATCTACCTACTTATCGACCAGCAGCCATCTGTCCTCTCACACGTGCGGAAGGAGTATGACCGTGCAGGCGAGAATCTCTTCAAAGATGCAAATACATGGGTCGCCCTATCGAATATTTTCACCAATATTTTACAAGACTCAAGCCTCCGAACGACCTACCTAGTCATTGACGCGCTTGACGAGTGCGTTGCAACAGACCTGCCGCAACTTCTCGACTTCATTGCTCAGCAATCATCATCTGGATCTCGAGTCAAGTGGATCGTCTCAAGCCGTAATTGGCCGCAAATTGAGGAACGGTTGGAGAAAGCCGCAGATAAAGTGAAGGTCTCCCTGGAGCTAAATGCGGAATCCGTCGCAGCGGCTGTCAATGCGTTTATTCTGAAGAAGGTGGATTACCTAGAAGAGCTGAAGAAGTACGACCCAATTACGAAAAAGACCGTTCAGGACTACCTGTGCTCTAACGCGCAAGATACCTTCCTTTGGGTGGCGTTGGTCTATCAAGCGCTTGAAAAGGTCCAGAAAGGGTTTACCCTAAAAAAGCTACGCATGTTTCCATCTGGGCTGGATGCTCTATATGCGCGGATGAGAGAGGATATGAGCCAGTTCGATGAATCCGATCTTTGCAGGCACCTTCTTGCTATTGTTACAATTGTTCGCCGGCCAATCAGCCTTGAAGAACTAACTACTCTCGCCGACGAGCTTAATAACACTTACGACGCTTCCGAGTCATTAGAAACAACTATAGGGCTTTGTGGTTCATTTCTAACAATACGAGAACGGACCATCTATTTTGTCCATCAATCAGCTAAGGACTTTTTACTTGGCAATGCCTCTGATAAAGCTGGCAACCAAGCTTCTCAGGAGGCGTTCAAGTGGATATTTCCTTCTGGAAAAGAAGATGTGAACTATACCATCTTCTCAAGGTCACTTGATGCCATATCTACAACACTGCGACGCGACATATACAGCTTAAGGGCACCGGGATTTCCAACTGACAAGGTCCAAGTACCGGATCCGGACCCGCTAGCGACGGTGCGGTACTCGTGCGTCTACTGGGTTGATCACTTGTGTAACTCGGTTTCCAGTACGAACACAAACCGGAATGATCTTTTACAGGACAACGGGGTTGTCTATACATTCCTCAAGACGAAGTACCTTTACTGGCTCGAAGCTCTAAGTCTACTCCAAGCTATGCCTGCGGGCGTTGTTGCTATTAGAAAGCTCGAGGGCCTGCTAGTAAGTACAAGTCCAACTCCGCACTAGGAACTTGGTCTAATTAGAGATATAGGGAGGTAACGATCAATCGCAGTTATCAAAGCTTGTTTGGGATGCTTACCGGTTTGCTCTATCTTATAAGTCAATAATAGAGCAAGCTCCCCTTCAAGTATACATATCAGCGCTTGTATTTGCTCCAAGCGGTAGCTTGATAAAGAGGAATTTCAGCACAGAAGAACCTGACTGGATTCAAACTAAGCCGGCTGTAGAATCAGATTGGAATGCATGCCTCCAGACCCTAGAAGGCCATAGCGGCCCCGTTGCCTCAGTGGCATTCTCGCCTGATAGCCAGCGGCTTGCGTCCGGTTCGGCGGACAACACGATTAAGATCTGGGATTCGGCGTCGGGGAGCTGCCTCCAGACCCTAGAAGGCCATAGCCACCACGTTGACTCAGTGGCATTCTCGCCTGATGGCCAGCGGCTTGCGTCCAGTTCGGGGGACCACATGATCAAGATCTGGGATCCGGTGTCGGGGAGCTGCCTCCAGACCCTAGAAGGCCATAGCTATTGGGTTGCCTCAGTGGCATTCTCGCCTGATGGCCAGCGGCTTGCGTCCGGTTCGTGGGACGAGACGATCAAGATCTGGGATCCGGCGTCGGGGAGCTGCCTCCAGACCCTAGAAGGCCATAGCTACTACGTTGGCTCAGTGGCATTCTCGCCTGATGGCCAGCGGCTTGCGTCCGGTTCGGAGGACAACACGATCAAGATCTGGGATCCGGCGTCGGGGAGCTGCCTCCAGACCCTAGAAGGCCATAGCGGCCCCGTTGACTCAGTGGCATTCTCGCCTGATGGCCAGCGGCTTGCATCCTGTTCGTCGGATAAGACGATTAAGATCTGGGATCCGGCGTCGGAGAGCTGCCTCCAGACCCTAAAAGGCCATAGCGACCGCGTTTACTCAGTGGCATTCTCGCCTGATGGCCAGCGGCTTGCATCCTGTTCGTCGGATAAGACGATTAAGATCTGGGATCCGGTGTCAGGGAGCTGCCTCCAAACCCTAGAAGGCCATAGCCATTGGGTTGAGACAGTGGCATTCTCGCCTGATGGCCAGCGGCTTGCGTCCGGTTCGAGGGATGAAACGATCAATATCTGGGATCCGGTGTCGGGGAACTGCCTTCAGACCCTAGAAGGCCATATCGACTCCGTTCGTTCAGTGGCATTCTCGCCTGATGGCCAGCGGCTTGCGTCCGGTTCGGAGGACAACACGATCAAGATCTGGGATCCGGCGTCGGGGAGCTGCCTCCAGACCCTAGAAGGCCATAGCTACTACGTTGGCTCAGTGGCATTCTCGCCTGATAGCCAGCGGCTTGCGTCCGGTTCGTGGGACGAGACGATCAAGATCTGGGATCTGGCGTCGGGGAGCTGCCTCCAGACCCTAGAAGGCCATAGCGGCCCCGTTGACTCAGTGGCATTCTCGCCTGATGGCCAGCGGCTTGCGTCCGGTTTGTGGGACCAAACGATCAAGATCTGGGATCCGGCGTCGGGGAGCTGCCTCCAGACCCTAGAAGGCCATAGCCACTACGTTTACTCAGTGGCATTCTCGCCTGATGGCCAGCGGCTTGCGTCCGGTTCGTGGGACGAGACGATCAAGATCTGGGATCCGGCGTCGGGGAGCTGCCTCCAGACCCTAGAAGGCCATAGCGACCGCGTTTACTCAGTGGCATTCTCGCCTGATGGCCAGCGGCTTGCGTCCGGTTCGTGGGACGAGACGATCAAGATCTGGGATCCGGCGTCGGGGAGCTGCCTCCAAACGATTAATACTAGTACTGCGATTGTTCATATATCGTTTGACGATACTAATCGCTACCTACATAACAACGTTGGACGTATTAAAATAGTTACAGAAACTACCGAAAGCCAAGTTGTACTAGATAATCCAGAGAGCCATGGCTATGGCTTGGGACAGGATGGGTCTTGGATTACTTGCAACGGCCAGAACGTACTCTGGCTGCCACCGAATTATCGACCGTTTAGTTGTGACCTCCAGGGACGGATGATATCCATCGGCAGCGTATCGGGACTGGTTTGGTTTATTGGCTTCTCGCAAGACATATAATGTATTCCATGTCTTTCTCAATTCCTTTCTCTCTATTTCATTTTTCTAGCGTGCCACCAGAAGGGTCTGGGAGGATAGGCAAATTTATAGGAATTTTGTAAATTCTGGTAACCTTCTGTGACGAACGGCAGTCTGGTCTGCCTAAGTGGGATAGCTGAACGTTGATACTATCAGAAGACGTTCGGTGAAGCCAAAAGGTTCACAATAAGTATGGTAGCGTTATACTAGTCTCAGTGATAATGATCTGTTGACTACTATCGAACTATCTGATAATCTGAGTTCTCCAGCCGTCCCTTTATACTAATCCTGACGATGCTGTTTTGTGATCTCGCAGTCCTGGCTCACCATGGCTCACTGGTGTTTTGCTGGGCTCACTGCTGCTTGGCACGTGAGCCTGTCTTTGTCAGCGTGAGCCTGCTTCCCCTGCAGTCCTGTTGGTTTGACGTTACACTGCCCTGCCTGTTGTGTCTCGTCAGTGTGATTGGCCCGTGTGTTCGTTTTTTCGTAACACCTTCTACTGTTGTCAAGATGATGTATTCCATTGCGAAGAAGCAAGACTATTCCATCCCTTGACTCTCCTTTTACGGGTTCCTGTGCGGTCCAGATGCCACGGGATTAACTCGTGACTGCCCAGTCATGGCCAAGCTTGGTACAATAGTAGAGGCCTCGATTCTCCTCGATCGGATAAGTAGTCTCTTCCTTGGTGGTGCTTGGGTGAGCCAACACACTTGCAGTAGCTTCGTCACAGCTATATGGTCTTGGTTTGGGTGCAGGGAATCGCGACTTAACCTATGTCTTTATACTACTAACTAGGTGTTGAAGGTACTCAAGACTTTCCTTCACACTAGTAATTCGGCTTATATGAGCGATGAAATTATAGTCCTCTTTCTGGATCAACTATGCTGGCTGATGAGAAGAAGCGCACAGTTTTGTGAATGGTTGTCACTCCATTCCAGCATTTTCAACTCAGAATTCTACCTGCGGCTTTGAACTTGGTTGTGATAACCTGGAATAGGGCAACGAGTTCCACAACTTTACGCCCCTGCCGCTGAAGAATGAAGACGAAGATTTGAAAAGGCTAATATTAAGATAGAGGAGCTCCGACCCATTGGCAGGTAGCTCCGTCCTCGCAAGGTCCCTGGTCAAAGCACAATCAATGGAAAATGTCACGAAGCGTATGCAAGCACTAAGATAGGACTTTGATTGTTGTGCGAGGAACAGGCTCAGGATTGTTCTAGTTTAGGATCGTTCTGGGTTAGGATCGCTCTCGCTTAGAATTCTTCTACCCTAGGATCGTTCTAGTATAGGATTGTTCTAGTTTCTTGGATGATTCTAGCTCAGGATCGTTCTAGTGTCTGGCTGGGATCGTTCTGACTTTGGATTGTTGTTCGTTGTTCGTTCTAGCATACTGCTCTAGAGAGCATTTTGCTTATTGGTTAGATCCCAATGACAGTTAGATGGTTCAGGTCCCTGGGCTTGGCTCTAAAATCTTTACCAGGCGGTTTAGGGTGGAATCTCGCGCAGCCGTAGGAGGGAAAGGGACTCCTTGATGTAGCCCACCTCTGAAATCTCGGTGGTGAAGGCGAGGAATAGTTTGATATAGTTCTAGAGAGCTTTTTGATTATCGGTTCGAGGAATAGTTGATTCTGCGGGTTTAGAATTACTGTGACCGTTGTGTGGAGGTAGAGGCTGGCTCGCGGGCTCCGGAACGGCATATACCTGGTGGCCGCCGGCGGCGCAGACGGCGGTCCAGACGGGTATGAGTGAAGCTCTGGATATAAGAGTAGAGGTATTATCCAAGGCGCTTTACCAAATGCCAAAATATGGAACTCACCCGCCCAAATCCACCAATGGTGGCCATCAACGGAAAGCTGAAATCACAAGACCGCGGCTCGTTGAGCAATATCCTCATACAGCTTCGCAAGTGTCTTTGCCATCCCCTCGTCCACAGGGGCAGCCAGTCGATCGAAGACCGGAACCCATTACTAGAAGTCACAAAGCGGAACCTTATCGAGGCATCCTCTAAGCTTCTAAGGGTAAGCAATCGATAATTAGGAAGAAGTACAGAGTCCGCCTTCGGCAACGCTGGAGTAATTAGGGTTAGAAACCTCCTTGGCCGTGGCCTCCTCTTCTATGGTTGTTCTCCCTCCGGGTTCCGTCCATCGTTCGCCCGTGCCGGCTGCCCTCCGTGTTCCGCCCCGTGGCCCGTAGCCCTCCGGACCTTGCCCGGCCGCTTCGCCCGGCGGCTCAGGCCCTAGTACTCAAGGTGGAAGCCCGTGGCGTGGTCTCAGTGATCGTAGTTGGACAGGTCCTCCTTCAGCTCTGGGATAAGAACGAGGTTAATTGCCCCTAGGTAGGATCGGTGCTGTGCGTATTAGTCTGATCTTTGCCGGTGTGGTGCCGCGCCGGCTGCTCCTTATCGGCCTGCTGTCGTTTTATCGGGTCCTTTTATCTTATTCTAGCGGTGTCATTGGTCTGTGGTGGTTAGGCGGCCTTTGAGGTGCTTGTCGTCCCGTGTTTTGGCACCGCTGCGCCTTGTTTGCTCGTTCGAGACCGTTCTGAACGGGTCGATAACGGTTGCGTAATCCCCTCTTTTGGTTGCAGGTATAAGAACCCTTCCCTTCCCCCCTCTTCCTCCTCCTCTTCTCTTCCTCTTTTCGTCGCCGCCGAGAAGCTTTCGCCCTGCGTCCCTGTGGTTTCTTGTCCCCCATGGCTGCCCTTACCCCCTAGGAGCGTGTCATCCACGCCCGTTGCCGGGTCGCTGGCATCGAGCCCGACGACGATGAGTTGTAAGTATTCCCTTATTTTCGTTTGCTCGTCTTGCCCTAACTCTTCTCGTTCTCCCAGCGGCATGCGCCTGCCCCCTTGGAGCTGAGCTCTAGGTGAGCTTCGCCAATTGGGAGCTGGCTAATGTCGATGGCGTTAACACTGCTGTGGTCGCTACCCGCCAAGCCACACTCGCTACTGCGGCCGACGAGTTGTGGACCGCGTACAGCACCTACCACATCGACCACGCCGACTTGAACGACAACCCTACCCCGCGCGCTATTATGCGGTGGTTGGTTGGCAAGCTCGTTGACGAGGGCTGGCGCGCTCCCCCCGACCTTGCCCGCCTAACCCTCGCAGACCCCTTGCCCCCGTTGGACGCTGAGATCGAGGATCCTGCCGAGGTGGCCGCCGACGACGTTCCTGTCCCCGAGGCCGCCGCTGCTCCTGCCCTCAACGAGTTGATTGCTGCTGTGGAGGTTTTCCGCACCGTGCTTACCGAACGCCTCGACAACCTTGACGCCCATCTCGATCGAGTCGATGCAAACATACGTCAAGAGGTGGCGGGCGTGGTCACGGCTGTTAGGGCTCTCCAGACTCAGGTGGAGGAACTTACTGCTGCTAATGCGAATGCAGTGGCCGCACCCCTGGCAGTGGATGATGGTTCCGTTGGTGAGGTCTGACTTTGAGATTGGGATTCGATAGGCGCAACGGCCGCGCGCGAGGGTAAAGCCCTTGAGGAGCGGGTTCAACTCCTGCATCGATGATACGCGACTCTAGTGCGGTCATAATATTGTTTCATCCTTTCTCGGACAAAGGTCAATTCATCCTTCAGTGTTTGATGCATCTCAGTGAATCGCTCGGCCCTAACATGGGCACGCGGAACGATTGCCTCTGAGTCCCATCCCCTGCGAGAGCTCATCTCGTAGCCGTAATTAGCAAAGAAGGGTATTACCTTTATCGTCTCGGTCTTGGAGCTGTTGTATGACATTTGAGCGGTAGAGAGCAACTCGGCCCAGTTGTCCTGCTCGTAGTTGATATATGCCCGTAGGTATGCTTCCAAAACCTGATTTATGCGTTCCGTTTGCCCATCTGTTTTAGCGTGGTACGCGGTAGATATTTTATGCTTTATATTAAGTTTATTTATGAATGTTTACTAATATTGTAATGAGAAGAGCTTATTTTTGTCGGCTACGAATTCCTTTGGCCAGCTGTGGTTGGATGTGATGAATTGTATGAAAATGTGTCTTAATTGTTCTACGTTAGTATTTTCTCTGAACGGTAGGAAGTAAGCGAACTTTGTAAATTTGTCGACAACCACCATAATACTATCGTATTCAATGCCAATGGCTGGGTCTCGAAATATGGGTAACTTTGTGATGAAGTCCATGGTAATTGATTGCCATAGTCCTTCTGATACTGAGAATGGTTCGAATAGACTATATAGTTTGTAACGATTAGCCTTGGTTTTGTAACAGATTTCGCATTCGTACAGGACTTCTATAACGACGTCTTTCATTTTAGCGAATCCGAATATTTCCTACACTCTAGCTATCGTACGTGCAATACCAGCGTGTCCTCCTTCTTCAGGAGACTCGTAAATATCCTTTACCAATTCCTTCTACAACGACAGAGGTACCCATAGCTTTCCTTTGTACAGCCGTAGTTCGATTGATGATGATAGGTGTTTTTGTACTTCCTCGTCGTCTACTTTATCCTGTGCCTCGGTAATTCGTTGGATCCAGTCATCTGGGTCCACCTTAGCGACATTGATGTTGTAAATCTCGAGGTCATCTTCGAAATCATGGCTTGGTAGAGGCTTGTGTACCAGTGAACCGTCATTGTTGGCTTGGAACAGGGCTGGTGAGGTAACTGTGCCTTCGTTCTTAGTGGTTCGAAGGTCTTCTCTTCTACTTAAGGCATCGGCTCGTGCGTTCTCAGAGCTTTTTCGGTAATAGATATTGAAATTGAACTGTGACAGGAACTCTAACCCTCGGGTTTATCTTTGGTTGAATTCTTTACTCGTAGTAAAATACGTCAAACTGCCGGAAGGTGGAAGATAGGAACGAGACAAGAGTCATCCGGGATATTACGCCGTTAATTGTTCCACCAGCGGAGATCCTTTGCACATATGGTGCCAGCCACCTCAAACATCTCATCGAGAGCGTCAACGAAGGGTGGAACAACTCGATCCCTCTCACCAGCACCCGTCCACAGCCTGACTACTCCGTTGGGTTCAGGCGAGGTGCGTTCACTGAGGACCAGCTCGCCAAGTTGTCGCCGTTCATTGGCGACTTCATCGCCGGGGATCAGTCTCTCTTTATGGCTACGTACTACATGTACTTCCCGTTCCTAACCTGCGAGGTGAAGTGCGGCGCCGCCGCGCTCGACATCGCAGACCGGCAGAACGCCCACAGCATGACCCTCGCGGTACGAGCTACTGTTGAGCTCTTCCGTGCTGTTAAGCGCGAGGATGAAGTCAACCGGAAGATCCTCGCCTTCTCCGTCTCGCATGACCACACCTCGGTCCGGATCTACGGCCACTACCCGATGATAGCTGGGAAAGATATCATTACCGCCATCCGATCCATAAGTTTGACTTCACCGCGCTTGACGGAAAGGACAAATGGACTACGTACCGATTCACCAAGAACGTCTACGAAATATGGATGCCCAAGCATTTCGAGAACATCTGTTCTGCCATCAATCAGTTGCCGTCGGAGTTGGACTTTGATGTCCCACCACTTTCCGAGACGACCGGGCTTTCCCAGGATTTGGGGAACTTGATGCAGTTAGATGCCAGCTGCGCTTCTCTGCCTGACGAGCGGGGCAGCCAGTCGAGCAATGCCGGGCAGGAGGCGGTCACTCCAGGTACCTCATTCAGTGAGCCGAAGAGGAGGAAAGGATAAGGCCCGGAAGGGCCGTAATATATTAGAGGGTAGATAGCATAGGATTCAATTGACCGTCATCTTCACCTTGGCTACTTCGCTTCTTGCCTTCCATCGTTTATAAACCAAGTCACTGTCCTGGCCAGGTGCTTTGAGTGATCACCCTAAATATTCGGGTACCTTCGTTATGGCGGTCCCCCAGTAGACACTTTTACGGTAGTTTTACATGTAACCGAATAGAGGCCTTCAGATTGCACTATACAGCAAGAAGAATTAAGATGAGCCTAGCTACTCCATTCCGACACAGTAGCCAGCACAATGTGGTTCTATGAGATTCCTCACTGGTCAACTGGCGACTTCGTAGCGAGGGCGACGGTGCCTCTGCTTTTCCTGTTTGCCAGCGTGTCCCTCGCCCTGTCATCGATGCAGGTTATCCTCGCGGTGCCGGCGGATGACCCATGGTTTTCTGGACTGGGCCACTCTGGGCTGCAGAAGATGGGTCGGGCGTTTTGGGTGTTCTCTGCCCCTGATGAGGACCGTTGCCATCGAAGGCCGCTGCTTCGTCGTTAGTTCCAACATGTGCGTCCGCAATGGAGGAAAGTAACAACAAGCCAAGGTCAACGGTCGCCCCGCCCTCTCCCAGCAACAACAAGAAACCGACACCAGCGCCGTCGCCGACCCCTCTCCATTCACCAGCGGCTGCAGACGCAGCTCCTTCGTCACAGAAGAAGGCTTCGAAATCGCCCTCCCATCTCCCCGCAGCGGCAGTCACGGCCGTCCCAAGAAACTTCGCAGGCGGTCCGTCTTTGACGAGGACGGTAACGAAATCGTCCTGCCATGCTGCGACGACCAAGGTGATGGTGAAGCCGAGGCGGAAGCCGAAGTCGATGACGAGGCTGTTTCCACCACCACGGCCAAGACTTCCTTGTCTTCTGCCGCTCCGGCTCCGGTTCAGGCGCCGAAGCTTGACAGTAGAAAGACTTTCAAGTCCCCTGTCATTGATAGATCCTGCGGTGCGAAGGCGGAGGATGAGTTTGTGTCCTGCGGCGGTTCGGCTATCGTGTCGCCGTTTGGAGACGTGATTGCTGGTCCGCAGTGGGAGGATGATGAGGGTATCATTTGGGCGGATGTCGACTTTGAGGATTGTATCCGTGGACGGCTGGATTTGGATACTGCGGGAAGTTATTCGAGGTATGTTTCTTTTCCTTGGCTTCAAGTGGTGTGTTGTTCTATCATTGCTGGGCGTGCAACAGCTAACTAGGTGGCGGCGTAGGAACGACTCGTTCAAGCTTACGGTTGAAGGACTCGATTTGTCGCCTTTGCCGTACCATTAAGAGTGGCACATATGGTGATGCAGGCTCTGGCCGGGGACTAAGTGAAATTGTATACCAGAAATAGTGTGAAGCTTCTTTTGTTGGCGAAGTCAACCCAGTCTTATCTTCCGAATAGAGTGCGGAACCCGTTCCAACAAAGCCTGGTACTGGTCAGAAGAAGCGAAGAGATTCAGCGTTCCAACTCTGTATGCCGTGGTATCCGACCACTCTAGTATCAGGAATTGCATGTCGAAGAATGTGCAGCAAAGGAGCAGACAATCCCAAGTCTCTGTTACCAGCCTCTGATATACGGGGTCATCCCGCGTCCGAGGCCTGTGAACGAAATCTACCCAGCCCCTCACGCCATCTTTTTCGAAATTTACCTCGAGATACCCTTCATCAGGATAATCGGGCCACTTCTCGTGGTTGTCCTGAAACTGAAGTTGGAGCACCATATTCTCCACCAGAGATACATCGACAACTCTGGGATAATTCTTGTGCTATCAGATGAGGATGCCGAAGGGGTTGGTGACAGCAAGAGATCCACCAGCTGTACGTGAGCACCGTTATGCTCCTCGGCCCAAAAGATTGCCTTGCGCTCAAGTCTGTATTCGGAATCCTCTTCATTCCTCAGACTTGGATTGATCTTGGAATAGTCGACCCCCTTCTGGGCTTTCCAACCGAGCCACGACCAACTGGGAAACCCTGGTCGTCGTCGTACCTCAAAACTGCCCTCTGAAGGTTCAAAGAAGAACCAAAGAGACTGAAAGAATTCCACTGGTAATGTTGTTCTGTGTCTGGATTGTGAAGTGTCTTCCGGTGACTCGTACCTTTGCAGCAACACTCCATAGTACGTATAGAAGGGGCATCGTGACAATAGGCCTCTGATGGCGTCAAGAGCGTCCCCTTCGTATGTTAGATCTCTCGTTGAAAATTGTTCGAAATGACGGAACGCATCGCGGAGGTCAGTGGCCCCCCTTCGATACCTTTTGGTTTCGAATATTTGAGACAGCACCGGTACAGGTTCATGAGAAATAACCCCGGTAGATCCTCTGGAAAGAGCTTTATCTTCGCACCATATCTGTGCTGGACACACGAGGTGTGCTTGGTAGTTGGTGAAAATCAGAAGTCGACGGGATAAGACAGTCTCCTGATATGTCCATCCCCGCGTGGCCCAGATCGAGTTTCGGATTACTTCATGGGCGGTAGGGAGGGATCCGACCAGGGCAAAAGAGCCGATATTGACATAAAGCTGCTCCCTTCTTGGCCTCCAGCTGACTCCGGGAAGTCCATAGGTGGAGTCTTTACCAGCGGCTGCCACTATGGTCAGGTAGGCACCCTGGTATATGTTATCCATATTCTGAATCTGGGCCATCTTGTCCGCGTTGTCATTTTGGTCGATACAGCATTGATCAACCCAAAGATAACGCTTTCCGATACTCTTTACCACGACGATGCTGTCCCCGATGACTTGAGGAACATCCTCTGGTACGAAAAGCCTCCCCGTGCCCTGCTCCCTTTTCAACATGCCAGCCGTCGAGATACCACCCCAGACGTAGCTGGGGGCCACGTAATCGGCCCCAGGCGACAGCCTAACGACTTCACGACTAAAGCAGTCGATACACCGTAGCGGAGCAGAATGGGTTGTGTTGCGGTTGGGCCGACTCTCGATATGATCATGATCACATTGCTGGAGCCAGCCCTGTATCAACTCGAAGTTGATATACCTGGGGAGAACGCGCCGCCCTTTAGTTAGGAAGAAAGGGCCTCTGTAGCTGTCGTCTGGTGTTGTCGGTGCCGATTTGTCAGGAACAAAGTACCCGTTTGCCCTGAGTGTGGGCTCGCAGGCATAGTAAGCCTCGTGACCGTCATCCAAAGTCTTGTGGGTGTATTCTGATAGCTTCCCTGGGACAACGCTGCAGACGGTCGCTCCAGAAATGCTTGACTTTGGAAACGATGATTTCGAAACGTCAATCGTTGTGAACAGCCGCAGATGGTAGTGGTCGACGGAGGGAGTCATAGGTGCTTGGGGCCAACGTGCGGAGTAGAAGAAACGGCAAAGTATACATGTCGCGTCTTCTCTGAGAACACCGAGATCTATCAGGCCACAGTGTTTGGCGCGAGTACTTAGTCTTACCCATGTTCGTGCCTTCAGCGAAGTGCTGTCAAAGAGACTGTAAAAGTCAATCCCCCTGCATCGTTCACAAAGATCGTCGGTGCTTTTCCCAGTTGTCTCGCTATGTTGTTCTTGGACAAGATAGCCTGAGACGGGCGATCTGGAAGAGGAACGAGATGTCATGGCCGGTACTGTAACCGATTTGGTCACTGTTGGAATCAAAAATAATAAATGGCCAATTTGTATGACAGTGAGGGGTAGATGAAGCTGTGGTGATGCCGAGCCTGGCAGTTCAATGTTGGCGTATGTTCAAGTAGAGATTCTATGACGCCCGCGGCTGTGATCAGGCTCAGCTGCGACGTGCTTCTCGCTGACTCCATAAGTAATCATCAGCCTTTTGTGTCACATTGGCACCTCCTTGGCGCCCCGAACCCAGGGTCCCGCAGTCCCGAGAATACGGGACTACGGGACAGGTTTGAAGACCAGTATATAAGAAGGCCGCTTCCCGGCCTTCGTTATTCTGGTTCGTTAGCAAGCAACAGCTTCTACAATCGATCAGTACCTTTCGGCTACTACTACCGTTGTTCTTATTCCCAGCGATATACTCCTGTGCTTGTAACGGTTCGTCACAACTCGGTCAGAATACTATTACTGATTGGTTCGTTATATAGCCTTGATATATTGGATACTGGTGGGGCGGCGGCGTTTATTATTGCCAGTAGGAGCGACATTTGCAGGTTTGCCAAGCCCCTGACATCTGGCCCAAACCAGTTCGATTTTAACACCAAGCATTTGAGTCTAAAGTAACATCCGCTTGGGAGTAGCCCCGTTAACGTTTGTCAAAGCGCAATATCCGCGGTATGGGTATACTAGCACAGTTCTCAGTCGCGGTCATAACAAGCTCTCTTCCAGTAGCCGAACCTTGATTATTATGGACTTTGTAATAGTAACAGTAGGGTTGGCACTGGTACTGTGCGTAATAAATGGATAAGGTTCTACGAAGGAGAGAAAACTAGCTCGCATAGTGTGACGAACGGCAGTCTGATCTGCCTAAGTGGGATAGCTGAAGGTAAGAACTATCAGAGTCGTTCGGTGAAGCCAAAAGGTTCACAACAAGTATGGTAGCGTTATACTAGTCTCGGTGATAATGATCAATTGACTACTGTCGAACTATCTGACAATCTGAATTCTCCAGTCGTCCCTTTATACTCCTGGCCGTCCTGCCTGTGTGCCTGTTTTGCATGTTGGCTCACGATGCCTTCCTGCTCACCGTGAGCAGTGGCTCACCGTGAGCACTCTCCCGTGGTGAGCGCCCTTCCGGCCAATCCCCGTCTGAGGTTACACTCAACCATCTCTAACAGTGCTGTTGCGTCCCAAGGGCTTGGTCAGCCCCTGTGTCGCTTAAGTTCGTAACAGGAAGCAACCACAGCCAAAGGGTGACCGGACGAAGGCTGGCGTCAGAAGGAAGAAGGATAATGGTTGAAAGCACTCAGGAAGATCCACATGTATGAGACCGCTAGATAGATACCTTGAGGCCTCAACAAGGCCCGGTACGTACCTCAGTACGTACCAAACCTCTGTGGCATAAGAAGGCCTTGAAACCCAGCCTTTGGTTGAAGGTTGAAAGGGATCAACAAGGCCTTCGAGACCAAAGTAGTTTACTAGTTGAATTGAACTACTGTTCCAAGCCCTGCACACAGCCCTTGTCACAATATTTCAGCTGACAAGCCTGCAACTTCGACGTCTTTATTCATGTCAACATAGAGATAGCTCACGGACTTGACCTCAACAATCCGTCTACGACTCGTTTCTTTCGTCTTCGACTCGTTGCTTCACTTTTATCACCCAGGTGCGGTCAGTATTATATGCGAGACGTGAACCGCCTGTTTCTACGTCGGCTACCATACAAGCATCACCACTGCAATCCCGTCGGTGACGGCAACTACGGCACCTATCTACACGACGACTAGAGGGGCTCCCAATACGATAGGAAGCAATAGGGAGTAAATAATGAAGATTGGGGAGTAAACCAAGATCAATTCTTGCAAGAGGAAAGATTGTGAACGGCTGACTTGAGGTGGAGTTGTCCTCCAAGCCTGCCTCTTAGGATGCAAGCCTGAGTAGCTCAACAACCGCCTCATGCCCATTCTTCTCCGCCATATGCAGCGCTGTCTGTCCATTCTCATCCTTAGCACCTGCGTCAACCTTGCCAGTATCGAGAAGCAGCTTAACAATCGCCTGACCTCTATTCCCCGTCGCCATATGCAGCACTGTCCGTCCACCCCTATCCTTAGCACCTACATCAACCTTGCCAGTATCGAGAAGCAGCTTAACAACCGCCTCATGCCTATTTGCTGCCGCCATATGCAGCACTGTCCGTCCACCCCTATCCTTAGCACCTACATCAACCTTGCCAGTATCGAGAAGCAGCTTAACAACCGCCTCATGCCCATACGCTGCCGCCATATGCAGCGCTGTCTGTCCATCCTTATACTGAGCATCTGCGTCAACCTTGCCGGTATCGAGAAGTAGCTTAACAACCGCCTCATGCCCCTTCTCTGCCGCCATATGCAGCGCTGTCTGTCCATCCCCATCCTTAGCACCTGCGTCAGCCTTGCCAGTATTGAGGAGAAGTCTAACAACCTCTTCAGATCCGTAGCGTGTAGCATTCATGAGCGGGGTATAGCGTCCGAGCCAGCCATTAGGATCGGCGCCGTACTCGAGAAAAAGCCTCGCCATCACCGCGGAGTCAGTGACTGCAGACGCGTGTAAGGCACGATCATAATTCCAGCCCTGCGGGCTAATGTCGGCGCTATACTCGAGAAGAATCTTTGCCACCCTGTTGTGTGCATGACGCAGGGAAATGTATAACAGGTCGGCGTCCTTTTCACAATAATCAGGGCAGAAGAATGTATGAGCCAGTGAGAGTCGCTCAACGTCATGGTCTTCTTTCATCCCCCTTAGGTATTCTACCTGTGAGACATTTCCCGCCTCTGCTGCCTCAGCGTGATCGAGCCAATGCAAAGATGCGTACTTCAAAAAGGGGTATTTGAGATGAAACTCATACCTCTCGATGCAGTCACCATCCATCCAGATGTCATCCAGAATCGAAGCGTTGGTTTCGATGAATGACAAACAGCAAGTTTTCAACCGATCATGGGATTGACCGATGGGATTCGACCCAAGCGTTGGGTCCAGACTCTGAAGTCGCTGATTTCGTAGGAGGAAATCTTTGACAGATTCGTGGATAAATTGAACCGTACTCTCGGCTTTAGGCACCTCGATGAGCCCTTTCGACGAGTAGGTTATGCACCGCTGGATGTCGTCAGCTGTCAGCTGTGACTGATCCCAAGGTCCTAGGTTTGTGACACCGGTGCCGGCCAGCGTGGCATAGTACACCTCTTCCGGCTCTAGGGTTCGTACTGCAAACAAAACCCACTGAAGCATTAAGATCGTCTCATGCTTATCCGGATTTTCCTTGCTCAGGATGTTCGAAAACAGCTCGTCAAGGTTACTGGGCACCTCGCGCAACTTCTGCTTCATCGCTTCGACCTTGCCATTGGCATGTGCCTTTTTCAGCATGGCGACGACGAGCACAACCCACATAAAGATACCTGATGCCTTATTGAGTACCTCCTCCTCAATGCGTGCAATGCGTGAATCCGCCATAGCCAGCTTATCATAGACGTACTTAGTAATGTCGGTATTATGTCCGGCCTTTTTTTCTACAACCAGCTCTTGGAATATCTCCATGCTGATGTTTGGATAATGGCGACTCGATAAGCAAATTCTGACATTCACTTCACTGATGCTCAAAGCTTCGAGGAAGTCCACCACGTTCTGGGCCTGTGATTCATTGCATTCGTCTAATGCATCGATAAGAATGACGAGTGGCGGCCATTGTCGAACCTGCATTTCGGAATGAAGGAATTCCTTGAGTTCTGCCTCTCGCCATTCCCATATCTGGTGGATTCGTTTCTTTCCGCGGAAGAGAGAAAGGAAGCGTTGATACGATTGTTCATCGTTATCGAGAAGTTGACAAACGAGGGAACGTAGCATGCCGAGAGGTGTCTTCTCTAGTGAGTCACCTCGAGCGTGGAAGAAGTAGGAAGCAACGATATGGTCCTCAAATTCCCGCTGGCAGTATCTCCAGATATGTTTCATCAGCGTCGACTTTCCGGTTCCAGGATGGCCTTTGATCCAAAGCACTCCATTGTGTTTTGATAAATCAGTGCGGTCGCGCCATTGTCGAAATTCTGTGGTCTCAAAAATCCAATCGCCAGTGTTAGGGTGGGCCAGGAAAATATCCTGACGGCGCGCGTCAATGTTGGAGAAGCTGAGGGATTGTAGACATTCTGTCCTCGTCAGTTTTGATGGAGACGTGGTGAGGAATCAGTATACTGACCTTGCTTCTCACATTTGGGGCGCTCAGGTTCTTGATCAGTTCCAGAGTAAGAAGCTATGGGATGTTAGCACAGGCCCATACCATCATCACCCGTGGTGGAAACCTACATCTATAGTAGTTGTAGTTGTATTGCGGCCCGGCGGCGTTGTTATTATACTGAGTCCCCGGGCCGGTATTGGCATTGGAGAAACCCGAACCAGAATTGGAGACAGACCAGGACCTTTTCATGTTGCAAGGATTGTGCTTCGGGATGTGTATAATGCTTGCTTACAAGATCAAACGTGTGAATTAAAGGAGTTGATCGTCTTGCAATGTTCAGGGAGAAAGCGAGGGGTTGGCAGAACGGAACGAGGAGATGAATATTGTCCAACTGGTTGGCCAACCAAAACTTCAAAGGTGTAGCGTACCCAAACTTTGGTTTGCAGCTTAGAAGACTCATCCCAACCAAAGGTGGTCTCAAAGCTGTGGGAAGGCGGATGTGCTAGTGAAATGTGCACATTTGCGGCATTAGCTGTTGACGCCTGGCCTTCCAGATCAGCCTAGGTGTCAAGATGCCTAATGGACACTACCTGTTAATGCCCAAATTCCCAGTCTGGCGTGGGTCGGCTACCAACCGCATGTGCCATTGGTAGTGTGAAGATATCCTTTCCGGGAAAGCTGAATGCGACGCCTGCCCCCACAACTGCAAGTAAGACGCCAATCTCCTAGACTGGGATCACCGTCACTTCGAGAGAGGTCCTAAGCAAATTCGGCCAATCAGAAGCTTCAAAAGAACAACTCCGCACCGAAGATAAAACACTTAGGCTCGAAGGGTCACCTGGCCAAGAGGGGATTGTCTGGTCTGGATGCCCTCCATATTTCCCATCATGGTGGGTGGAGGTATGCGAGGTTACTAACCCGACAACGCCGAGCCACAATGCTCACTCTTGGAGAAAAGGGTGCCAGAGCTGGGCCTTAGCCTACCTCTGTCCACCTTGGATCTTGCCTCTACCACCCCGAGTAGACGTTAAGACCAAAAGCACCTTCTCTGGTCCTTGGTGTATCTTTGCAAGCTGAGACAGCGTTGTTCTTCGTTTGTACTACTGTCGGACTGGTATGCTAGACGGTAGAGTCTCTCCGCTTCTTTGTAATCGCCTTTTTGGAAAGCAATATTCCCAAACCCCTTAAGGACAACACTTGACCCCATAAAATCGGGACCTGTTGAGTCGACTTATGCGGGTTTGAGTCCTGAGGAGGGGCTGTGTCGGCAGAGGGTCTTTTGGCTGCTGTATGTGATGAAACGGTAAGTTCATTGTTGTCACGGCGTAACCAGGGATGGGTACGATGTGCAAAGACTGTACTACCCTAATGGCTAACTTGGACTGAAGACAATAAGTTGAAGAAGGAAGGAAACTTCCAAAAGGGAAGGCTCGGTGGGGAGGACTGGGTTTTATACCCTGAACTCTGGGAGGGAGCCAGGCCAAGCCCAGAACCTGAACCATCTGAACCAAACCCGTGAATGGAAGCCACCCTCAATGGGATCTGTGCACGTGAAAGACCCTTGACGGTCCCAGCCGTCACACCATGAGCTTCTCCTGAGTGTTCTCGAGGACCTTTGCTACGATTTAGTGATAGTAAGTTTCCAGTTCCTCATCTAACTTTTTGCTACTCGTTTACTTACCTTATTTCTAAGCAGATTCTTAGCCTTCATATAGTCGTAATAATACTCGATCGCATAGTCTTTTACCGCTTTAGCTATTTGCGGGAAGAGTTTATAACTGGGGTAGGCGGGGATAGGAGGTAGGATAAGGATGGTTTTGTCTGGTCTAGTTATAGTATGCGTATATATATCCGCGATACTTATAATTATAGTAATAATAAGGCTTATAATTTTTGTACCTGTAGTCTCTATAATAATTTAGGATTTGTCACAGGGTTAGACCTCTGTGACTGTTGCACGTTGTGCAGGCTGCAGCCGCTTCTGAGACTGCTGCAGCCTGATTGGCCAAGTCCTCCCAGCCCTACGCGGCTGGGACCCTACTTAAGGCCAGTCTGCGCACAGCTTGCGACTGTTCCCTTTCTCCTTCGTGCAATTACGCATATCTACATCTACACTCTACCCTTTGCCCGTGATAGTTAATTGCACCTTTTAACTATTGCGTTCACAGCGCAAACCCCAAGATCCGTGGAGTCGTCGCGCGCTCAGTCAGCTGCGCAATCCACCCGTGCAGGAATCGCCTCGTCGAGTCGCAGATTCCAGCACCGCCAGTCAAGCTAGGTCGCGCCCTCGTGTCGCAGCGATCTAGTCCTCGCACCTCCGCGCCTATCAAGCCGCAGCGGTCGTGCCCGTCTCTTCATTCAGTGAATAAGAGACTGTTCTCTTCATCCAGTGGATAAGAGACCTCCCCTTTGTTCTACGTCGACGAGTTGTCGCCGTTTCCCTATGTCATTCATCAACTTCAACGCCGACGACGGTAGCGATCACCCCTCTCACTCCGGCAGCAACGACAACGACACCGACAACGGTCTGTCCAGCTCCGCCGCGGCACTTGAGTTGCCCGAGTTACGATCCCTTTAATCTCGGCGACCTTATCGACGTTCTCACCGAAGATTACGTCGCTAACACTAACGTCAGTCGTGCTGCTCTGGTCAAGGTCGACCTCACTCGCGGCATCGAGCACTTTCTGGGTAGTCTCAACAACGACGAGAGACCTCGTTTCGTTCCCCGCGACTACCTCGTCACCGCTAGCGAGATCGCCGGCGAGCCCGCCTTCCAATCCATCGTCGACCCCCTCGGTCGTATCTTTCTCTCCGTCCTCGAGGACAACCGTGTCGCCCGCCGTATCGCCGACGACCGTCAAGCCGACTTCGATACTCTCAATCTCGAACACATCGCACTCAAGCAGGAACTCGAGGACCCTAGAGCAACCATGTCCGCGGCCCCTACCGGTATCGTAGCTGGCGCCCCTCTGCCCAGACGTATTATCGAGGACCCTCCCGCGTTTGATGGCAAGGAGAAGGATCCCGCTCGCCGCTGCGAGACTTTCCGTGCTTGGAAGTTCCGTATTGTCACTGCCTGGCGCGTCGACGCCCCCCATTATCAGGCCGAGGATGTTAAGATCCTTCGTGCCGCCATACTGCTGGGCCCGGAACTTCTCTCTAGCGTCCAGGCGGACCTCGACGCTATGATGATAGAACCCGACAAGGACAAATGGCGCTGGAAGACCGGCGTCGACTTTATGAAGCACCTTAGCGATCGCTTCGACAACGTCGACCTAAAGCTCGACGCCTCTCGTCGCCTGGCGGATCTATATCAGAAGAACATGCCGTTCTCTGAATTCGAGGTCGAGCTGACCAAGCTCATGGACCGATGCAACCTCGACCCCGCCATGAAGGTTCACCACCTTCGTAATAAGATCAACAAGCGTCTTCGCGACGCCCTGGTTCACCGTAACCCCCCCCCCCCCCCCCCCCCCCCCCCCCGGCGAAAGCGAGTTCGTTAAGTGGCTTGACCTTTGCCGTCTCGTGGCCCGCAACCTCGATGACGCCGACCATCGCAACAAGTTGGCCAATCACTTCTACAAAGCAGACACCAACAGCAACACCGGTGGTGGCGGCGGCAACAGTAGCAACCCCGACGAACGCCCTGTCAGCCAAGGTGGCAACCAGATGGACCTTGACGCTGTCGGCCTTGCCGGCATCATTCACCAGGAGGTCCTCGACCAGCGTCAGCGTGACGGCCAGTGCCGCCGTTGCGGTCAGCCCGGCCACATCGCTCGTGGCTGTATCAACTCAGTCAACTATGGTTCTAAGGGCCGCCAGGACGGAAAGGAGTCCAGAAAGAAGAACCGTGGTGGTCGCGGAGGTGGTCGTGGTGGTCGCGGAGGTAATCGCGGAGGCAGCAACACCAGTGGCCAGCAGGCCGAGGTCCGCGCCGCCGACGCCGCTCCTGCTGCTGCAGCCGCCGCTGGCGACGAGTACTACAACGAGCCGGGAAACGCTTAGCCTCTGTGCCCAGTCGCGTACAGAGGCCTGACCGGTTACTAGCGTTGTGGAGACAAGTTTCAGACTCATCATCAGAGTCAGAGGATTTGGAAGAGGTACGGATCGAATCGTTAGATAGTTCGTCTTCAAATTCAATACTCTTGTCTTCCTATGTTGTAACCGGCTCGCGCAAAGATCATTGTGTTTCACTCGTTGATAGCGGATGCTCCGCCTTTGCGTTTATTGACCGCTCTTTTGTCCAAAAGCATAACCTTCCCCGTTTTCGCTTACTTCGTCCGAAAAAGCTTGTTCTGGCTGACGGTATAGTCAAAGGCATCATCTTTGAAGTGGTGAGAGCCAAGTTCCGCATTGGCCTTCACGAGGAAACGATAACTTTCTTAGTTCACGACATTTCCAAGAACCACCCCGTTATCTTGGGTTTCCCATGGATGCAGTTCCACAAGCCTGCGATCGACTACGAGAAGTGCGGTGTGCGCTTCAACCACCCAGACTGCCGTGGCCGCTGTCTGCCTCGCGATCTCACGAACGAGCAAACGACAGCGCCTCGAGCCCTCACCAGCCGAGTCTCTGTGGCCTCGGCTCGCTTACATAAGAAGGCCGCCCCCCAGCCCTCTCCCCCGCCTTTTCCTCCTCCCCCCAACACCTTCACTAGGGCTAGTACTAGCTCTGCCTCTGGCGGAGGAAATCCCCAGCTCCAGGAGAAGGAAACCGAGGAGCTACCCCCTCTCGAGAACCTAAGGATCTCGAGCGAACCCAGGACCGTGAGCGCCCCCGTTAAGGCACTCTTGGCCAGCCGGGCCGGGACCAAGGTCCAGGGCATCTCCGGCACGGCCGCCCTCCTCGTCAAAACCAAGAATCCCGCGCTTTACGAACCGCATATCCGACTCAACGGCAAACGTGTGTCCGCGGGCACGCGCCGCACTCTCGTCCGCAAGTCCACTGAGGTAGCCGGCGATTTCAACCCCAACGACATTCGGGAGCTCAACGCCGCCACGTTCAACTACATCTGCGAGAAGCGTGGGTTGCAGCCGTTCGTCACAAGTTATACCCAACTGGAGCGTCTGGCCGGCATTACGGAGACACGGGACTTGGACCTGACCGAAGAAATGGTCAACAACATTATGGAAGGAGAGGGAGAACAATACAAGGACAGTCTTTCCCCCGGCCTTCATAGTTTTATTGATAGTTTGGCTGGCAAGGCCGCCTCACAGGACGAACGAGACGCTGCCCTTATCGCCCGAACGATCGTCCTCACAGGGAACCTTGACACCGACGCGCCCGTCTGCGAAGAGACAATCCGCCGCGTTCAACTCGCTAAGATAACCGAGGAGGACGCCAGAAAGTTCCTCGACAAAGCAAACAGGCCCGACAAGACCGACGAGGAGATCAGGGCCAAGTTACCGAGCGTTTACCATGATCAGATCGCTGCTTTCCAGCCGGGTCGCGCCAACGAGATGCCTCCCAACCGCTCTTACGACCATAAGATCGAGCTCCGCCCGGGAGAACACCCCCCCAACGCTCGCCCGCGACCAATGTCGCCGCTCGAGGCCGTCGTCGTGAAGAAATGGATCGACGACAACCTCAGAAAGAAGTTTATCCGCCCTTCCCAATCCGAGGCCGCCTCGCCCATCCTGCTGTTCAAGAAGCCGGGCGGCGGGGTCCGTATTTGCGTGGACTACCGAGGGATTAACAACGTTACGATGAAGACACGGTACCCGTTGCTGCTTATTAAAGAGACCCTCGACGCTATCTGTAAGGCGAAGATTTTTACCAAGCTGGACGTTATTACGGCGTTCAATAGGATCCGTGTGAAGGAAGGCCATGAGTGGCTTACTGCGTTTATTACGCGTTTCGGTCTCTGAGAGTCCCTAGTGTGTCCTTTTAGGTTACAGGGCGCGCCGGGGACCTTCCAGAACTATATTAACGACGTATTACACGACATTCTCGATGTTTATACGACCGCTTACCTCAATGATATCTTAGTTTACTCTGAGAATGAGGAAGAGCACGTGGGCCACGTTAAAGAAGTCCTAAACCGTATGATTAAGGCCGTTCTGCAGATCGATATCGACAAGTGCGAGTTTCACACAAAACGAACGAAATACCTGGGCTTAATCATCACCCCGGGCGGCATCGAGATGGATCCCCAGAAGGTGTCTGCCGTGATGTCATGGGAGGCCCCAGACTCCAAAAGATCATTACAGCAATTCCTAGGCTTCGCCAACTTTTATCGCCGTTTTATCAAGCACTTCTCCATCATTGCAAGCCCCCTCTATGAGTTAACCAAGAAGACGGAAGATTGGCACTGGAATAGCCAACACCAAAAGTCCTTCGAAGCTCTCAAGAAGGCTTTCAGCAGCGGACCAACCCTTCGTATCTATGATTGGGCCAAACGAACGGTCGTCGAGACGGACGCTTCCAACTGGGCTTGCGGTAGCACGCTGTCACAATACGACGACGAAGGCATTCTGCGCCCGGTAGCGTATTTCAGTCAGCGACATTCGTCGGCGGAATGCAATTACGATATCTACGATAAGGAGTTGTTAGCCATCATCAAGGCGTTGGAGGAATGGGACCCGGAGCTCGCGGGAGCTCAGCAGCCGTTTGAAGTCTTCACTGACCACAAGGGGTTGAAGTCCTTCACAATCAACAAACAACTCAACCCCCGGCATTGCGTGAAGGTTTTCTCCGACGGCCAAGTCGCGCCCGTTTATAGAGATGGAACAAGGCTTGGCCTCGGAGCCCCACACGTAGGATAAGGCCTCGTACGGACGTGTGCCTTCTGAGTCCAATGCGGTGCAGAAGAGCCGACAATGTATTGCGGCGTCCTCATTTTCAGACGGCAATAGTTGAAGTAAGCGAATATGGCTACGTGATATAGGAACGCTGTAATATAGATTCTTTACAGGTGTTAACGTTATTCTGAAATGTTGTAGGGGGAAAAGAAGTAAGCCTACTTCCACCTGCTTCGGCCTTTTGTTATCCACGCAGACCAATTTAGATAGGAAGAAATGGATGAGTTTGTTGAAGAGTTGTTTCCACGAAATCTTGTAGCCGGCGGACGTCTCTGTATCGACGGAACCGGTAGCTGGAGCGGCTGGGAGCTCGGGGGCGGGCATACGGGTAGCGGATATGGCGATGACGGCGGGGATTTGTTGCAAAGGTGTAGGGCGAGACTGCTCTTGGCCCTTATCGTCTTCCCAACCCTCCGTATTGTGTAGTCGTTGAGATATCGTAGCTTTAGGGAACGAAAGTCTTGAGCGAGGTGACGTAGATGAGGTATTCGAGGATGATTGTGTTGTTTTGGAGGCAGCGAATGCTATATAGTTGACGATCAATGGATTGAGTTTGTAAAAATGCTGGAGATTCCTCTATCCTACCCCCAAGAACAAAATAAAAAGAAATTAGAGTACTATGTTTTCTCAAGGTTATGGTGGAGTATGAGGCGTCGTATTGAGTCTGTTTCTGTTTCACCATGTCAGGTTGGTGCGAGTTTATTCTAGGAACCTCGTGGAAGACAGACAGGAGTTGCATACCCGGCTGGGGCGTAGCAACTCTGACGTTCCTGGGCGCAGTGCTCGTTTGACTGACTCGAAGCTTCCGCAGTCCCCGTCTACGTAGCCTCGCTCATCGGCTTCCTCACCTCCACAAGCTGCTACTACGCCGTCAAGTATAAGCATCTCCTCTCCGTCGACGACGGTCTCGACATTTTTGGCCTTCACGGCGTGGGCGGTTACGTCGGCGATCTTTTGACGGGAATCTTCGCCGACAACTTTGTGCCCGCTCTCGACGGCGTATCCGGCAGCTCCTACGCTGGAGGCTGGTGGAACCGCAACTTCCGCCAGCTTGGGCTTCAGTTCGCCGGCGCAACCACTGCCGCGGCCTGGTCCTTCGTGGTTTCATGCATCTTGTTGTTCATCATCAACAAGATTCCTGGCTTGCATCTGCGCGCGAGTGAGGACTCGGAGATCAGGGGTCTGGATATCAAGTATTTGGAGGACGTGGACGAGGAGGGATTTTACATGAACGAGTGCATCCTGCATGGACGCACGCCGCCGAGGTGTTCTGGGTCGTTGAAGGCGCCCACGCCGGTTATGGAACCGGTCAGTGTTGAGGGGCCTGAGAAGAAGGATTAGAGGGGTGTGTTCCTGTGACTTTGTAAACGAAGCACTACTTGCTTAGCTCATCATAAATTTCAAATATTTCGAGTCGTAACCAGATGGGCCTGTTATTGCTAGCGGTAGACTTTGACGATTCCAAGAGGGCAACTTCACAACATTAACATGGACGTCAATTCGTACAGTTCAATATCCCAGTTTCGACTCTTTCTTACACCTCAAAGAAAACTTCATTGTATTTCCCGGTTCAAATTCGGCATTTTTCACATGATTATTGCCTGCTATCAGTTGGACCGAAGCACAACGGGTTCGGGTCGAGAAGGTTTCCGCTTAACAGTGGGTCGACGGGTCATGATGTCATGCAAGCTCTTGACGTCAACTGTCAGTGAACAACATCCGAAAGCGCGATGCTCATCCTCCGTTTCGATGGGTTTAATCTCTATTGATGTTCTATGGTGATGTTGTTGTTGGCAGCCGACTGGGCCTCAACAGGCTCAAGAGCGTACTCATCATTGGTTGTTGAGCCCATTGTCTTTTCAATCATGATGATATAAGCCTTGACGACTTTCACGAGTTCATGATTTCACTTTCCTCATTCGTTTCCATGTTGTCCCTGGCCAGATTCCAACATCGTGGAAGTTTAGGATCTCAGATCTCTATCGTGCGTGCAACCCGGACCCATCGGAGTTCGGTTCCAATGTTCGAGGTTCTCTTTGTGAGCATCACTACAAGGGAGTAACTGCACCGCACTGCACGGAAGGAAGGCACGAGCATGAATTTCAAGACACAACGGAGAGCTGATCCTTCCCTTAGAACGGAGCCATCAGTCATCACAAACTTACATTCATGTTGCCCGTCGCCGTCAATGGTGACACGCTTACATCTGGCACGCCTTTTCCTCTTCAACCAGACAAGCCGCCAATCAAGCATTTTCCCAATCATTCCTCTCCTTCGTCTCACGTCCAGGCAGCTACGTCTCGTCCGATTTCCATACATCAAACGCGTTGTATGATACTGTTTGTATGGTAAGTTATGCCCACACAAATCATGATGGATTGGGAAACAGAAAGAGGAAACATGACATGAGAAGAAAAGACACGTTGCTAATTTGATTTGAAAGGTTGTCATATGTGCCTAGATATATATGTTGATCGTTTATCCCTCCAATCCACGCCTTGTCGCCTTACAAGTAGATTACCTTCGATATTTCACCGTCGTGTGTTTAGCCCAGCTCACATGCTCCCGCAATCCGTGCCTGCCTACCACAGATCACCACCCAGTCAGTCATACTGGTGCGTTCACACAGTTATATACAGAGTACCTTTAGGATACAGGCCATAGCGCTGGAGCCAAAGAGAGCAGGAGGCGAGGGCGGTAGAACATGAAGGGCAAGGGAAGTAAGAACCAACGACTCTTTTGGTGAGGATATTGCACGATGTTCATTACGGCGAACTTTGGCAGGCGCGAACATGACTTTATCATTGGCTATATCCAATCCACACAGTCGATTCACAATGGTACCTGCCCGGTACACAGCCGATTTATCCGGCCCAGCCACCACGTCAGCTAGCACATCCCACACATCCCATTTTGGTTAGACGCTGCGGTTATATACCACACACTGTGCACGATGTACACATCAGTCCTTAAACGTTTGTTAGCGCGGTTTTTGTGACAGGGGTCTGTAAAACTTCATGATAGAACATCGGGACAACCATATTCAAAACGGAAAATGGAATAATGTGTATACTGTGTAAAGCCTCCAAAACGCATCTCTGGTTGAGACCAACTTCTTGTATGAAATGTGGTGGAATGGTGGTTGAGTTGCGAAGAGTGCGTAGTGAAGCCCCGCGCTAACGAACTTTCCAGGACTGATGTGTAGAAATGCTTCCTTCCTTCTTTGGCGGTGAGGGAGGGGTAGTTGATATCTGCCCCTGTTGTCACATTTGATAGGACTGTAATGAACTGGGTACCTCATTCCATAAATCGGACGGCCCTGGCACCCGAACCACTTCTTGGCCGTTCCATCTTCTTCACCCAAACTCGAATTTCAGCAAGAAGATAGGGAGATAGGGTATCCGAGATTCCACCATGAGTTCTACGGCGAAAAGAGAGGCCCAGTCGCCGGCACCTAAATCACCCACGCCTGCTCCCGCAACTCGAGCTGCTACGAGAGAACTCACGCCTGCTCCCTCAACTCCAGCGGCTACGAGAGAACCCACGCCCGGTTCTACATCTCCCGCTGCTGGAACAACGGCCCCTCTTCCGGGATCTCACTGGGCTGAACAGGTACGGCCCTTTTACGTTCCCCGTCGCCTAGTCACAATCATAATGGGAATCACCACTGACATATCTTGGTTACTTGCCCACTATAGGGACTTCCGGAAGAGGCCGAAAATGATGCGGATTCAACCCTTGGAAGTGATGTCGAGAGCTCGACTGCTTCGATTAGTTCGAGTATCCTCAGATACCGTACCGTAAACGGCCGTACCTACCATAGCGATAGCGTAACAGATGGGGAGTATTGGTAAGTTTGGACCAAGATCATAGCCAGCGTCTCTTGCACGTCATTCCTGGCCTCGCACAATGAAGCACTGCGCATGTATAAGGAAACAGCCGACGCTAACGAGCATTTTAAACTTTTATGCAGGGGCCCCAACGACGCTAAGCAGAATGAAATGCTCGATATTTTGTGAGTGAAACATGCTTCCCACCATCGGTTGAATCTCTCAAAGGCCTATCATGCATAGAGGTACCTTCATCCGAGCCTCTCAAGCTGTCTCTCCGCCTCCAAGGCCCTATGAGGCTGCTGAACAGCTGTTAGGTTGCGCTACTATTGTCTTCGACCCGTCGTCGAATCTCATAGCATCGACTGTCTGGATTTGGGACATACAAGCTGCAGTAGCTCTCCTTCTTCACGGGAGCGTCAGCACCATGTCGTGGCATCCCCACGTTCGCGAGACTTCGAGTTCTTGTAGCTAACCAAATGTTGCCTACCTCTAGCCATCATACGATGACCATTTGTCTGGATGGCAGGCTTTATGATGCCCCTCTTGCCAAGGATCCTGAGAATGCCATTGATATTGGCACAGGCACAGGTACGCCGACTTTCTACACTGTCTTGGTGGCTGTTTCCTTCTACACTGTCTTGGTGGCTGTTTCCTTCTACACTGTCTTAGTGACTGTTTCTTAAATACTAACTCGACATTTAGGGCTGTGGGCAATCGATTTTGCCGATAAATTCCCTAACTGCCACGTCGTGGGTACTGACATCTCGCCCATCCAGCCTAGTTGGGTACCCCCCAATCTATCTTTCGAGATTGACGACTACAACAAGGAATGGGCCTATAAGTCTGATTTCTTCGACTTTATCCACCTCCGGTGGCTGATCGGCACCATCAAAGATTGCTATGCTTTGTATAAGGAGGCTTACCGGTGCTGCAAGCCGGGCGGTTACATTGAGCATATGGATGCAAACGCTACTGTCGAATCCGACGATGGTTCCGTAGATAACAATACTCATGCCCTGGGCCAATGGGGCCCTATGTGGCAGGCGGCTGGAAGGAAGATCGGGTTTGAATGTGATATACTCAGCACCAACATCATGCAGAACGCAATGAAGGAGGCCGGTTTCGTGAACATAGTAGTGAAGGATTACAAGGTAAGTGCTCTGCTTCCCACCTCTACGCACCAGCGATTGCCAAAGCGTCTTTTTATCCTAGAATTTGGATGAATCTAACTACGGAATACTTTCAGGTGCCTATCGGGCAATGGTCCACGGACAAGAAGTTGAACGAAGTTGGTCTATACTTCCATGCCGTTATGAACCAGGACCTTGAAGGTGTTCTAGCGTTCATGTTTGGTAAGGTTATGGGGTGGACTAAAGAGGAGATCGCCAACTACATCAAACATTTGAAGAAGGAGATAAACAACAAGGATATTCATGGGTACTTCGTCTACCGCAATGTATATGGCCAGAAGCCATTGGATGCTTAATGTACGGCTGGGCAACAACACCGACCGGGGCTGGATAATCTCCCACGATAGGCGGTCGGATACCTCTACCTTAGGACAAGCTTCATATCTCTTTTTCTGTAAATAGTCTGAAAACAACATAGCTGAAACCTCGGATGACCGTCGCATTTGTTTTACATGGTTGACCCCAGATCGGGCATGTGCCTTCAGCCTTACCCGGCCTCCACCTGCATCCAAATGTGCACTAACACTCTTACACCAATGCTCACAAGGAATTTGCCAAGTATTTGTTAGCGCAAAGCTCCCCACCGGCATGCCTTCCTCAGCTCAGCTCGGGTACTACGTATGTCTTTTTTTTTTTTTTTAACTTCCTGAGCATTTAGTCTCCACTCACGACGTCCCTCCAAGTCATCACGTTGAGCGGCGGAATCAAAGAGCGCAATATCGAAAACATATATACCAGCTTCATAATACCCTAGCGTCTTCACAAGGTACCTCTACCTTACTACCTACATATCTACCTAAGGAAACCTGTTGGAAGTTCGTGCCCAGGTTGCCCAGTGAATGGCACTGGGCCGCCCATTCACCGGCACTCCCTTGAGGTTACAAGTATTTAGGCTGCCCTGGTCAGAACCAAGCCCTTTTCGTTGTCGCCTTTTCCAGCCTTCAACAAAACCCCAGTGGCGTTTTGGTAAACGAAAGCACGTCGAAACGGTCAACCACCTGCGCCTACAATGATCCCCTTCTACACAATTGCTACGAACTCCGTCCACAAAAGACGGTCATCGTCTAACTTTCGTCAGAGACGATACTGTGCTAGCAATCATCACCATCGGATTAACTCATCTAGAGGTATCGTTCCCCATGTAGGTACGTGTTACGGGTAAGGCTGAAGTAACAGCGGTGAGCCTTGTTCGTTAAACTGGGGCAGGGAGCGGGTGAGGAGACGGATTGCAAGGGGATCCATGATCTTTAACGACAGTTTCCAAAACGACATCATACAAATGATGATAAGTCATATCCAAATCGCTATTTACATGAGAGACTGGCCACATTGACATCCGAGGAGCATGGCACGATACATATACTACCCTCCGCTGAAATATTCACATTCACAACGCCCACCGGCGTCTGGCATGCCTCCCGTCGGTTATCCACCTTAAGCATCCAGCGGCTTTTGCGCCCTCACCATGCGCCACTTAACGACACCATGGATCTTGCGTTCCCTGAACTCTCGGCGAACAGCAGCGGCGTAGTTCGCGATTTCCTTCGGGGTCCACTCCAGGCAGTTGGTCATGAAATAGACAAGGAAGCCCTCAATGTCATGTGTCAGCGCCACGGACTGGTAGAGACCCAGCTGCTTCATCTTCTCGTCATCATCAGACCAGGGCGTAACGGGAACCTAAATCTTAGGGTCAGCTTCAGCTCGTCTCAAGGGCTCACGGACAAGGAAAGTCTTACATAATAATCCTCGGACGTAATGTTGGTGAACCCAGCGTTCTTCATTCCCTTTTCTATCGTATTTGAAGAAACCACGTTAACCTCGAGCCCGGTCTTCCGCCCAACCTCTTTCCAAATTCGACCCCACTCGGCCATGGCGGACTTTTCAGGCATCGTACCATCAAAGCAATATAGTTCAGCATCGCAGTCAAGTTGTTCAATCCAAGCACCGGGCTTCGCACACCTAAACGCCTCCTTATATAGGGCATCCCAATCCTTAATACTACCGGTAAGCCAGCGAATGTGAATGAAGTCGAAGTAGTCCTCCTTATAGGTCCACTCCGTAGATGCGTCATCGATCACGAAGCGGGCGTTTGGGGGTACCCAGCTAGGTTGAATAGGGGAAATGTCGGTGCCAATTACGTTGCAATTGGGATGATCGTCCGCGAAGTCACTGTTTTATGAAAAATAGATGGTAGCGATCGAAGATCGACCCAGGAATCTGACAGGTCGGTCTTACATGGCCCAGACTCCTGCAAGTACATATGGTTAGTAAAGTTGAGTAAAGGGGAGAGATGGTAGTTTAGGTTGATTAGCTTACCAGTGCCGGTACCAATATCAATAGCGTTCTCAATCTCCTTCTCATTGAGCGGGGACGTATACAGTTTCCCATCGAACAATTGAACCATAGCCTCGTGCATGATATCCAATACCTCATTTGCCTTGGCATCATTAGGGCCCCTGAGTGGTGTATATAGACCAGTAGTTAGTTCAGCTCCACAACATCAACGGGTACAGCACTCGTCTTACTAATGCTTTCCAATTCAGACGTACCAATACTCTCCGTCAGTCACAGAATCGCTGTGGTAGGTTCGTCCCAGGATATTACGGTAGTACAAAATACTAGAAGAGATCGAGACGGTCGAACTTTCGGTATCACTTCCCAGGGTCGAATCATTATCCTCATCCACCTCCTATACGTATAAAAGACTTTTCGTTAGCATCTGCCATTTTCAAAATGATAGATAAAAACGCTGTAATCATAAATGTCTCGTTCGATACTAATTAATCTAACTCACTCGCTAAGAGAAGAGAAGAGCGTCGTCGGACGAAGTGAGAGACAACCGTCGTTATGTAGGGCAGTGGGCCTGCGTCTGTCGGATGCAGATGCCACCGATGCCACTACTGCCTAACAAACGCCTCGTGGAAACCGAAAAGAGGATGTATAGACGAAACGAACCTGCTGGCCCCAATGGGCACCGGACAAAAGTGGAAGGTCAGGAGGCTCTAAAGACTCGTGGGCCACCGGAGACGCGGGACCAGGCGTGGGCGACTTCTCCTTCCCCTTTAGCGACTTTGCCTCAGGTGATGGTGACTGTGCCTTTTTGAAAGGGAACTCATCGTCGCGGATGGATATTGAAAGGGTTGAAAGATTGGTCAGTGAACTGCAGAGGTTGGCTAAAGTCGATGCTTGGTATTTTCGCGTACTAACGGCCTAATATATAGGATTTCTCGTCACCTAGTTACCCCTCTTCGAAAAAGAGTCTTCTGAGGCTGCCATTGTATGAATGAGGCAGGAGTCTTTGTTTTCTCTTACATGTCACATTGTGGCACTATGAGAATTGTTATTAAGGGGCGGTTTGTTGTCTGTAAATTACGCTAGATTGTTGCGCCGCTGCCTAGCCCAAGACTTTATTTAGAATTTGCTAAGCTGTAAGGGTTGATATCATAATGTAATGATCGCTATTAAAAGAGCGGTTTAGTATAACTAGGTGAACAAAAGAAACCTACGTTCACGAACCTACCTTCACGAACCTACCTTCACGAACCTACCTTCACTAATATACCTTCACTAACCCGCAGCTTTACCGGCCTCTAGAAAAACTACTCCTTATGGCGGTATATATATGGACGCAGCTCCAGAATCTTACGGGGGATATAGCAGCTCGAGCCTCGTCCATTGCCCGGCACCCCATAGTAATGCCCATCATGGCCACGGAACTCCTACTACAACCGAATCCTAATCCCCCAGCTTTTCCTTCTCCGGTGCTGCGTCCCTACCTACCACTAGTACCGGCGCCGATCGCTTATTACCAAACCCCACAGCCGGAACCGGTACCTCCCGCTCCTCCCTCCCTTATACCGGCAGTACAACCATAAAGACCTCTTCCCAACCAGGAGTATCGAGCCCCCCTGCCAATGTCGCTGCTTCTGCAACTGCCTACGGCGGCTTTGATGGTCTTCCCGCGTCTTACGAATCAGCTAGCACCGTCAGTGCCGGATACACCTCATTGGTCCGCCCCAACTCTACTTCTATAAATACCTACCATTCGTCTGTTTCGGAAACATAAGCGGAAGTAGGAGTGGAGGGTAACTGGGCAGGTAGGTACAATAGGGCACGTGCATACTTTGAGTGGAGTTGGAGGCTGCGGGCTTCTGATCCTAGAGCTGTGGTTGGCTTGTCGCTCTCAACGCCGCCGTCAGCCTGTTTCGCAGCCCTAGCATGCAGCTCTCTCCGCCAATCGACTCGTCTACAAAGGTGTTGGCGGCTGCGCCGGCAGCGTGTTGCAAGCCAACCACCATGGTTATGACATGCCAAGATGGAAGGGAAGAGGTAGGCTAATGCAGGCAGATGAAGAAGGTAGGTTAAGGCAGGTACATGAAGGAGGTCCATCGTGATCAGTTTGTCGTAGTGGATAAGCTCTTAACGTGAACCCACTACCAAACCCAAGGAGTAAAAAGTAGAGAAGCCCATCGTATCCTTCTATCATCTTCATCATCTTCCGAGCCTCAGCTATTTCCGTCGTGAATACCTTCCGCGCTTTAATACTATGACCTGCTAACACAGTTAATATACAACTTCTGCTTGCTTGATATCGATGTTGATTTTCTTTTATGACTTTGGAAGCTGAAAACTGGCTGATATACCCAAAACGGTGTACAAAATACTAAGATTTTGTGCTTTTCATCGTAGATTATCATAGTACCTAGCAATTGACAACTCGTCTGTAGGCTTTTTTGAAGCGAACGAGCTTTTCAATATATCGTCCGTACTATCCTAAGCGTATACGATTGATATAAATTGCAAGATTGCACCATTATTTATCATTAGGTTTGCGAGTTGACGACCAGATTTGATATCGGTATCAGTATTAGTATCCTTTGTGTTGCTGTCAACTTTAATTTGGGCATCACTGCAACCGACACTGATAGCAGCGTCATTATCATTATCGCTATTTTAATTACCACTGTCGTCGGTCCTGCTCCTCATCCTGCTCCTCGTCCTACTTCTTCTCTTCCTCCTCGTCCTACTCTTCATTTTCTTCATAGTCCCTCCCTTTAGTATCGTTATTACTGGCAATATTATTAATATTTTGAGACTGACTAAAATTTTGCCTTTTGCAATGTAGTAAAAGGGTAGCGTTTAATTTTTGTTTCTTCATAGGGGGCCCATAGGAAAGCTTTTTGGGGTTGCTATAGGATAGACTATAAAACCCCTCTTTTAGACAACTAACTCAATATTAATCCTGAACACTATATACTACACTACCTGTAAACGCCTGTTATCAGATATGTTCAGAGATATGCCACCGCATTCAACCTCAGCCAGGTCAAGAAAGGGAAGACCCAGTTTGACTGCTAAGTTGTATTTAATAATATTAATATTAAACTTTTGATTAGCCTATATAATTCGCTCCAACTTATATAAAAGCTATTTATTCCCGACCTTATGAGATAGGATGCTATTGAGACGAAAGGCTTTTATATCTTCGTAGTTTAGGGCTAATATATTTAAAAACTTGTTTTTGACTGAGCGTTCAACACTAGGCAGGTTGATAAACCTAGCAGAATAGGACTCCATGTACTTTTTCGCAACTCTAATTTCCCTCTCAGAGACTCAGGTACCAAGTATGCGAATATTCTTAGCACTATTCAGACAACATTATAGAAATTCTATTATTGTAAGGTAAATAATAGTCAGGCTGAATAGACCCTTGTGCTTAAAGGAGCCTTCTCCTTCATATTATAGTCATATTTCCCCAGTTAGTTCAATATGAGGCATTCAGAGCCCAGAGGTCTTATCGACGTTGGACGCTCGGGCTCGATATAGTAGGCATCATATAGACGTACTAAACTTACCTCTACATAAGAGGTTGTAGTCTGAGACTTATACTCTCTACTCAACTCTCTTCTCTAAACTTAGCTAGCTAGACTTATTACATCTATCTCGCAATATACCATCGTTAAAGTAGAAACAAAGTAGTAAAACGTATATATAAAAGTGTAAATGCTTTTTCTTATTCAAATAAAAACTCACTATTAGCTGTAATACTTTACTAAATTACTATCCCTATATCTTGAAAAATACTCCTAAATAGCTTGACCATCTTTACAGGTACTTATAATATAATTAGAGATACCAACGTCCACATTCTATAATATAACTAACCTACTTACTTTATTACTCTAAGTCCCTTTCTCCCTAACCCAGCGCTAAACGTACAAGTTTACGTCCCCTCTTTGTTTCGGTAGCGTCTTATCCCTCACAAAATTCTATTCAAACTCCTCCCACTCTATACCACCCGCCTTCGCCCTCTTGAACACTACCACAAAATCCTCCACCTTCAATCTGTTTATCCCTTTAACTCCGGTCGGTATCAGCTCCGCCATAGGTTAGGCGAATATCATTATCTTTTCTAACCCTATTTATTCTAATAGGTTCTTATCTTCGCGCAGCTCGTGGAGTAAGTACCCATATCTGGTACTATATAAACATAAGATCAGACCCCTTTACTCAACGGTTATAGTAATAAAAACGTCGTTTGTGAGTTCGTACCTCCTCTCTAAGCCCGCTATATCTCTTCCGTTTGAAGCTGGGTCCAGGTTACGAAACTGTAATGCGAGTAAATTTTCGTACCTCGCCAGATCATATAGATAGTCAATTTATATCGTCCTGGCCATCTTTTCTGTATCTTCACAGGCCCTCTTCACAGCGTCAACAACAGATCCCATATCATAATAGGCATCTGACTCAACGAGATAAAGACACTCAATCAACAACATCCCGCTCAGGTTCGCAGCGTCGAATAAGAACCCTCGCGTATTGCAAAGCACTACTACAGCTGTTTCGTAGTCGGGAAGTAGCCAGCAGAAAAATGTGGCGCCGACTATATTGCCGCCGTAGTATAAGGCGAGGTGTTTCTTACTCTCGCTTAGGTTGGTAAGCGGGGGTTTTTCAGTTTCGGCGTTAATATTAGCAACGTAAGATTCGGGCTTGGTGACGAAGAAGAAATAATCTAAATTATCGCCGTAGATCTTGCTCTAGATAGTACTCTCTAATCGTCTAGCGTCATTACCGTCTACACCTAGCCATTGTAGTCTAGGTGAGGCATTCTGCTCTTCGGAGGTCATTGGCACAGTAACGGTATTCTAACTGCTAGTATAAGTGTATATACTATTAAGTAGATTAGGGGAGAGTCTACTCTCTATATAACTGAAGAGATACTTTATACTACGCTCGGGAGGCGTATTGAGGTGGTCCGGATATAGAAGTAGGTTGCTATCTCGCTCCTCTTGTCTTTAGTTATAGATATCTATAATCTTACTATAGAATTTAAGAAGGTTAGAGGTAGTAGACGTAATACCTACTGCGGCGGCGAGTAGTGACAGCCCTGCATGACCAGCATTTGAAGCTTAGGATGGGAGAATCTCGACGGATTATGGAATATAGCCGTAGTATCTGTTGAAGCATTCTATGACCTTCATCCTAGAGATTACCCCGTTTGCATCTATACATTGCTAGAGATTAGACAGGATACCCGTTACTTAAACCAAATGCGACTTAGTAAAGGTCTTCGACATATCATTTCTCTCAGCCTCTATCAACCTGACATAGGTGTTATACATTCCAAATGGCTCCAAAACCTCTTTATAGACGAATTCCGCTCAGGAATACCCAATCTTTCTCTCAATGATTATAGTTAATAAAGTAAAATATTCGTTAAAGTAATTCCGCTTGTAGACAAAGGCCTTCTCAGACGTATAGGTATCGTTGGCTGGGAGATGCTAGAGTAGTGATACGATGGGATCTATTATCTACTATAGTATATCGCCATCGGGGCTCTCCCAAAGATTCGTCAGCCATTAGAATAAGGAGCGGAAATCTAATAGGTCGGCAATGGTAAACTCCTGGTTGGTATATATCTTTACTATACTGGGACTACCTTTGAGTTCCGGCAGGATTATTGAGACTGGGGTATCGAATTTGAGCTGGTACTTTAGAAAGTTATCTATCAGAATGCCCATTGCCGTAGAAATGATTGGCTTTGACATAGATGAGATAAAGTAGACAGTTTCCTGGTCCAGAAGCGCGAGTACTCCTAGACCCTTGGCCCTCATATTGAGAAACCCTTGTTGTCTATGGCGCAGGACTCCTATTGAAGCACCCACACTCCCAGAATCTTGAAATAGTTTCTCGAAGGTTAGTTTAGTAAGGGTCAAGATCTCCTCTACTGACAATACGCTATAAAGGAATGAGAGCTGCTTAGAAAGAGTAGTCAAATAATTAATATCATCAATGAAAGTACTTATTGTTAGTATATAGGTGAAAAATAAAAAAGGATGAGGCTTACCTGAATGCCATCGCATATGATCAGTGTAGAACCTTGTATGGAAAGGTTGATAGGGGAAGAAAGATTGGTCTTGGAGTGAAACTCTTAGTTATTAGTCTCTTGGAAACTCAAACGGTTCCTGAGACGGGGCGGATCAACTAGTTAATAGAGTTGATATAAGGTTTATAGAACTGAAACTGTAAGGACGAATGATGGAAAATAAAGCGAGAAGGATACCAGTTCTTATATTTAGCGGTTTCTGTTATATCCACAATCTACAAATAGTTGCAGCTTGTTCTCATTCAACTGGGATATATCTTGTTGGAGGTGTCCCGTGTCACGTGCGGCTGGCTGTGGCCCCACCGCACAGGGACATCCCTTGCCCTACTTCTAGACCTCCAGACTTCACAGTCAGATCTTACTCAACAATACATCACCATCATTGATTCGTTCGTGGTCGTTTACCCTGTTTCACATATCTAAACGCGGGAACTACACTCAATATACTCTACCTAATAGCCCCTAAGCTGTCCTTCGATCGGCTACGTATCACTTGCATAAATTTAGGGTGGTAGGTAGCTCCGTCAATGGGGTGATAGCTAGTAACACAGAGTTGGTGAGAATCGTGCCGCGAGGAGGTGGTGTAAAGAGCGTCTGTCCAACTCTTTTAGTTCGTCGTTAGGCTTGATGGTGACCCCCAACCGGTAGTCTGCATAAGACTCTGGCTTGTTCGCGGCCCACCATGCCTTGAAATCCGTACGCGCCTCCCTCTTAGAAAGTCGCCTTGAATGCGCAAGGGTAGCCAAGCCTTCATTGACTACCTCTCCCCCTTCCGCTCCCGCCTTAGCAAGTCCGTCGGCAATCTCGTTGCCCGTGACACCCACAATACGCCCCAGTCCTGTCCGAGTTCCGGTTTTTCTACTAATCGATCAACGAGACCTCTCTGTGGCCTCGTACCAAGGCCGCCTGGAACGCTATGCCGTAGTCCCAGCACCTCCATCAACCGCCCAGTGGACGAGCCAGCGATGTGGCGAAATCCTTAAAGACAAATGAAAGACAAAAGAAAAGGGGAAACCAAAAACGCTCTACTCCTCACCGCTCTCTCCCTCGCTGTCGTCCCTCGCGGCTTCCTCCTGCCGTCTAACCCGATGGACCAGCCTGTCCAAATCCGCCGTAACCCTCTCGATCTCGTGGCCTTGGCCAACTTCTATCCCTTCGTCCCGTAGGAACCCGGTGAAGTCGTCAGCGGTGCCTCCGTCGTCAATGTGCTTTTGCCCGAGTGTCTGGCGCCAAGCCTTCCTTGTGCAAGTCTACGAAAAGAAGTGGGAGGTCTGTATTCTGGCTATAAATCGCTGCCCCTCAGTGTTCTTATCTATGGGAGCGGGAAGGACAGGAAACGGGTCTTTTAATCACGTGGTAGGGTCAAAAAACTGAACCACCAGCTCCCATATCCATATCGTTCGGACGGAGGCATTACGGTGAGTGGGGAGGCGGCGCTAAGAAGATGAATATAATTGGGCGGATTACGAGAAAAGTTGACCGTCCTGACACTGCGGCTAGATCTTTTACACGGGTAACAACAAGATTGCACTCGGTCAGAAGTCCATTCCTAATTGGTTCCTAGTACTTCTCGGCCCAGTTATGTGTATGTAGATGAGAGCGTGGCAAGCGAATCTCTCGCTCTTGTTTTATTGGATCACGGTTTGGTGATCCACTACGACAAACTGATCACGATGGACCTCCTTCATGTACCTGCCTTAACCTACCTCCTTCATCTGCCTGCATTAGCCTACCTTCTTCATCTGCCTGCATCAGCCTACCTCTTCCCTTCCATCCTGGCATATCATAACCATGGTGGTTGGCTTGCAACACACTGCCGGTGCAGCCGCCAACACTTTTGTAGACGAGTCGATTGGCGGAGAGAGCTGCATGCTAGGGCTGCGAAACAGGGTGACGGCGGCGTTGAGAGCGACAAGCCAACCACAGCTCTAAGGATCCGAAGCCAGCATCCTTATCTACTCTACCGGATTGGGCCATGACACCCCCATGATTGGTACAAGCCACCAGGCCGCTGCTGCTGCTGAGTGTAGAAGAGCTCTTTGACGGATGCGCCTGGTTCCCTGCTGGGCGCATCGAAGTAGCTACAGCTACTACGGAAAACACAATACGGCTAAATGATCTAGTAGCGCAAGGATACGGCGTAGGACAGTATGAGTCGTAGATTGGGGCTTGGCTTGAAGCGAGGCTGGAAGCCTTGATATCAAAACAAACGCTACCCGAAGTGAACCCTCTGGTTGCCTTTTTGGCATGTCCTCCATTGCAGCATCAAAGCTGCATTTGATCCTTGAAAGACGAAACGTTGATGTGGCACGCTGACATCAGGCTTGATGCCAGGTGCGGCGCTACGAAGATCGTTCAGGTGATCGGGAGTTAGGACTTACTTGCAATTCCTCCTTTGGGCCACTGCCCTCGCCGTGAGCATGACGAGGGGTGTGGATCAGGGCCTTGGGGAGAGTGTCCATTCTTGCTTATCTAACAAATGTACCTCACCCGAAAAGACTTCTTCGTACTTTATCCAACATGGAGTGATAGGTGAAAAGAGTTTCTTCACGGATTGTGTTCCAAGATAAAAGTTCAGGACATCCCCCGATTTTCGGTTGCCTTATTCTCGCATTCACATCCTATCCTTGTATCATCAGACTTGGACATGCCAGTTGTCAACTCTTCAAGACCCTCATAGGAACGGACATCACACCACTCCATGCACACTCGTTCTCCTCTTCCGACTTTTGGACCCGAACTCAATCCGGATCAAACGTACGTATAATCGAGAGATTCTTTGACATTTTGGAAACGAAGCCATATACACGACATCCAAGAGACCTGAATTCAGCAGCAGCCTCAATGGATCATACTAACCCCGTGGAGGGAAGTTCAGGCCAAAAACACCACATCCTCATGTCCGAGTTGAGCAGCCAGAAGTGAACGGGTAGCTTATCGAGCTTATCTCAACGCCGAGCATTGACCAGATCCACCTCAACCTCCAAGAACAACAGACTAAAACTGGGCAACCAGTCTCCCACTCATATGAGGCCGCCGCCTTCTTTTCAGCCCACGCTGCCATTCGGGTGACGGATCCGAATCTCGTGCTTTTTTAAGTTTTACCGCCGGATGGTGCCGTCTCAATCAGCTTGAGCCTATCTGTCACCAAGTTGCCGACGCCGTCAAGGTCCGCTTTTCTGAGGCGCAACCCCACTAGCCGCCAATGGAAAAGGCGATGTGGCTTGGATGGGAGTGCCTGCTGCTGCTGGCGGGCAACCCCTGAGAGCGGCTCCAGTGACTGACCGACTGCTTCTCCCGGAGGAGCAGGACGGACCGAGCCCCGGGACCCTCCGAAACACCGTCTCGATGCAAAGATACTCCACCATCACCGACGCCAGATTCATCCCCAGCGTCGCATACACAGCCGCCTTCACCGACGCCGCCACAATCAGCGCAACAGTCAACGGCTCCAACAACTTGAGAACTTTGTCTGCCTTGTCTCCTCGCTTCCTCTCTGTTTAGTACCAATGTCGAGGGCCCACCGACATCATTTCGCTCTTCCCCTCCTGTCAGAAACCAGTGCAGTTCTGGGCAGAGCCGTTCGTTGGCAATACATCGGTTCCACATGGCGTCAACGACTGGTCAAATGGGAAGCATCCGCGTTTCAGCCCTTTGGAAATCGGGCACTTTCAGCACCGCCGCAGTCCAACAATCGGCTGAATGTGCAAGATGCGTTCTTAGATCAAAAAGGAGAGAGCAAAACGTGCGTTCCAAGGTGTATTAGGCATCAAAACCAGGCCCCATGACTTGCCGTCGTTAAGCGCCCAAGAACATAGCCGTAGCCCCACTCCGTTATGAGCTACCGCACGTTTCCATCGAAACGATTTATCCCCGCGCTGTACGGCCAATTATATCTTGAGAAGGGCCTTTAGACTAACGCCTCAACATGGTTAGCACACCTAGCAAACCATGTAATTGGCCAGTACACTTGAATGAGAATTAGCCAGAGATGGAGAACGACTGATTCAAAACGAGGTTCATTCCATCGGTGAATGTCCTCACCATGTCTCGTACAAAGAACGCAGTAATAGCAGCCCATGGATGCATCGTCGAGTCAACGGCCTGATGGCTTCACCCGTCCCAACGGGCGCAGCGACTTCGAAGTTGCCATAATATGCGCGCTCCGTCTCGAATTCGACGCCGTATGCCTCCTTATCGATAAGCTGTGGGACGAAGACGGCGATCAGTACGGCAAAGTCGACGGAGACCCGAACATATACACGACAGGTCGGATGGGGAAGTGCAATGTCGTCCTTGTTCTTCTGCCCAACATGGGAAAAGCGAGCGCCGCCAGCGCAGCTGCAAGTCTTCGATCGAGCTATCCGCGAGTGTCGCTGGCCCTTTTGGTAGGCATTTGCGGGGCGGTCCCATTCGCAGGACCGGAAAGGGACCCCATTGTCCTCGGCAACGTGATCATAAGCAACCTCGTGGTCCAGTATGACCTTGGAAGAGCGCTTCCGGATCGCTTCGATCGCAAAGATAACCCCCATGACAGTCTTGGAAGACCAGACAAGATCATTCGCAACATCCTGGTCAAGCTTGATACGAACATCGACCGCGAACATATCGAGAAACGGGCGGGTGACTTCCTCAAAGCTCTTCAGACGAAGAGCGAAGAAATAGCCAAACGGAAGCGAAGAGGCAGGCATACCAGCTACAAGTACCCAGGAGCAGCCAACGACCTCCTGTTCGATGCCTGCTACCGACACAAGCATGCTCCTGGTTCCGGGTGCAGAACGTGCGAAGACTGTCATGACAACTCGGATCCCGCTTGCGATGAGTCTCTTAGGTTGTCATGCAAAGAGCTGAAATGTGACACAAACCGCTTGATACGGAGGGAACATTTGGATTCAGCCTCAAACGACCACAATGCCGACTCGGATTCTAAGGGTGTCTTCTTCTTCATTGGTGCGATCGGATCTGGAGACAGTGTTATTCGGTCTGGCAAGCACCGTGATCAGATCGCCAAGCAGGCCGAGGTTATTGCTTTCGAGATGGAAGGAGCAGGCGTATGGGATGAGGTGCCATGCATCGTGATTAAAGGCGTGTGTGACTATGCCGATAGCCACAAAAACAAAGGATGGCAGAATTATGCTGCGGCAACCGCGGCGTCGGTAGCGAAGGCGGTTATGGAGAGATATATCGCCTCTGCTAGGGTTTCCGACTCTTCGCAGTCTTTGAATGCAGGCCCGGGCGGTGGCCAGATCAATCAGCCGGGTAAGATTAGCACCGCTCGAGCCTGGTCCTTCCATGATTATCACGTCGAAACTTTGCTAACGTATTGCTCTCTCATATAGACTACGGTCACTATAAGGTCGACTTCTCTCTTCAGGGTATGCCGATATCAAACAACTTCGTGCCTCGACCCTCTGATATTACTGATATTGAGAAATCTCTTCTTCCTTACCATCGGAAAAAGCAAGGGCGCAGTGTCTTTGTTCTTCACGGGCTCGGCGGAATTGGGAAAACTCAGCTAGCTGTCAACTTTGCACGGCAATACAAAGCTGTCTTCAGCGCCATCTTTTGGCTGGACGGCACATCAGAAGATAGCCTTAAACAAAGCTTTGCCAATTGTGCAAAGAGGATACCAAAAGGCCAGATTCCTGAGAATATCAGAAGTCCAAAAACAGGCGATGAAGTCGATCTCAACGATATTGTGGAGCAAGTACAAGTGTGGCTCAAAAAAGGCGACAATGTCGATTGGCTTTTGATCTTCGATAACGTTGATCTGGATCATACGCAAGGAGAAATACCGGGCGCTTATGACATTCGAAACTATCTTCCGAGTGACCACGGCGCAGTCCTGATTACATCCCGGTTGTCCAAGCTAGCACAGCTTGGCGAATCTAAGCGCATTAAACGTGCTGACCCAGACTTGAGTAAGAAAATATTCGAGAAGTGGTACGGGAAGGAACTAAGTGAGCACCCCAAGTTACTACGAGACCCAACCCTAAAGCTGATGCTAACGCGCTAATTCAGTAATGGATGATGATGCACAAGAGTTGCTGCGTTTATTAGGAGGTCTGCCACTTGCACTCGCGCAAGCCGCTGCATATATAGGAGAAGCAGATATACCTATCGCTAAGTATATTGACCTATATGAGAAGCAGTGGGATGAACTCTTCGAGAATACAGACTCCGGCCTGCTAGACTACGGTACTCGCAGCGTGATGACGACCTGGATGATATCGTTCAACGCGATCGAGACGAGGGAGAAGAACGCTGGGAATCTGCTACGGCTTTGGGCTTTTCTCGACAATAGAGAGATGTGGCACAGTCTACTGCAAGTGGCCAGAAATGACCAGGAGCAGTGGCCCAAATGGCTCTGCGATATAGCATGCAACGAGGTTAAGTTTCTCAACATAGCAAAACTGCTGCTCCGCTACTCTATGATCGAGACCCGAGAGTCTGAGCAAAGCAGCTATAGCATGCATCCGGTAGTACATAGATGGATATCGCATATACAGGATGACGCTGGGAAGAGAGAGTTTCTATGGCTAGCGGTAATGTTGATAGGATTTTCGGTGCCCCACCATACGACCAAGAATTATTGGGTACTCCAACGACGGCTTTTCCCTCATGCGGAGAGGTTCTTATGGTGGATGGGAAAATTAGAAGGAGGAGAGTGCAACATGGAAGACATTACCATGGGTCAAGCAACACATAGCTTGGGCAACCTCTACTCGGATCAGGGCCGGCTAAAGGAGGCTGAAACGATGTATCAGCGAGCGCTAGAAGGCAAGGAGAAGGCGCTCGGACCGGATCATACGTCGACTCTCGATACAATTAACAACTTGGGCATCCTCTATAAGACTCAGGGCCGGCTAAAGGAGGCTGAAACGATGTATCAGCGAGCGCTAGAAGGCAAGGAGAAGGCGCTCGGACCGGATCATACGTCGACTCTCGATACAGTTAACAACTTGGGCAACCTCTACGCGGATCAGGGCCGGCTAAAGGAGGCTAAAACGATGTATCAGCGAGCGCTAGAAGGCAAGGAGAAGGCGCTCGGACCGGATCATACGTCGACTCTCGATACAGTTAACAACTTGGGCAACCTCTACGCGGATCAGGGCCGGCTAAAGGAGGCTGAAACGATGTATCAGCGGGCGCTGTCTGGTTATTCAGCAGCTTTAGGCTCGTCCCACGCGAAATCTCTCCTTGTCGTAAAGAATATAGCATCTTTACAACTTGCAAAAGGTAGCCTCTCTCTGCAAGAACTAATAGTTAAGTTTGCTAACATTTACAACTAGGTTCATCATTAGAAATCGAATCGTCGTTCAATTATTCTTCGGCAGATGAAATTACCTCCACGATAGTGGAAGCTCCGCTTCAATTAGGTTCATCAGCCGCAACTAAGACGTCGTTGAAGAGGAGGCGCTCAAAAATTGAGAATAACTTACGAGATAAGATACGCAGAACCTCTACGAGAACTACACCATCTGAATCGACGGAAGGCTGAACATAAAGTTGGAATTACGTTGTAGTAAGTGTGACGCATGGACGTCAGGGTGCTCATGGCACATTAACATTATATAGATTCACTTGGACTTGCACTCGTGGCTTGTTACGAACTTAAGCGAGTACACGGGCTAACCAAGCCATCGAGAAACAGCAGCCATGCCAAGATAAGGACAGTGTAACCCCAGGCGGGGATTGAACCGGAAGGCGCACAGAGGTGCTCACAGCAGACAGGTGCTCACTGGTGAGCAGGCGCTCACGAGTGAGCAAGAACTCGAAGTGAGCAGAGACTCAGGATGAGCCAACACTAAAGAATAGGACACACCAGATAGACATGTAGGATATAAAGGGACGACTGGAGACCTCAGATTGTCAGATAGTTCGACAGTAGTCAATTGATCATTATCACCGAGACCAGTATCACGCTACCATACTTGTTGTGAGCCTTTTGGCTTTACCGAATGTCTTCTGATAGTATCAACCTTCAGCTATCCCATTTACGCAGATCACCCTGCGTCTTTACCAACAGTAGATCTCTGGTATCGCCGAGTACGAACCCTCCTGCTGCCATTCCCTTACGGACGTACGTAGCGACGCGTGGGTGGGTAGCAGTCTCCTCTGTCCATGTGCGGACAGGAGTGTAAAGAGCGTAAAGGGGGTGCCCGGGAATTTCAAAGCGGCCCTCGTAGAACCACGCTCGTGGCTCTTGGATCATAATCACGTCCGCTCCCCGTGGAGACTGGAAGCACTTGATGAATGATAAGAGGTAAGTTGATCTTAAAACGCGTGCGGGAAATGACTAGGAGGGAAGGCATGTATGGCCAGGCCGGGGTTAGCTGCCTGCCGGGCATTCAGCACCTCGTCCAGGACAAATTAACGTAGACTGCAGCCGGGCCAAACTATCAAAACCCTGACATCGCCGTAAACACCAAGACGATTTTCATTCCTCTCATTACTTTTATTCCTTTCATTCGTCCTCATGGTCATTCATATCAGAGGCCATCCCCACGCGAGAGAGCGGGGATAAGCAAGGGTAGATCGGCCAAGCTCGTCTCCGCGCATACGTAGGCGATAACAGTTCACCAGCGCAGGCTGGTGGAGTTGAGTAGGCGCAATCCGCTGGCTCTCTGTTAGAATGAGTACTGACAAAAGCAGTATCATCTTCGTCCTCGGCCTGGGATCCAACCCCGATACGACATGGCGAGCGAAGAGACCTGCAGAGATGGGACTTGCGGCAACGGCCGATGCACCCAAAGATACGACGCCCGAGACCAATCAGTTCGTGAACTGGGTCAGCGACTTCCTTCCCGATGATTTACCTCCCACAATCCGCCGAGAAGTTCGCATCTTCTATTATAACTACGACTCATACTGGCAGAGGGATGCATTACATACGCGGCTGGAGCTCCTTGGGAAAAGGCTTCTAGAACACATCAGGGGGATCCGCATAACCGAGGCGGTAAGCATAATGATTGATCCGACCTTGGAGTACTACTGACGAACCCAGGAGCGAAGCCGGGACCTGATCTTCGTGGGATATAGCTACGGCGGCCTGGTGGTCAAGCAGGTAGGTTGACTCGCGGTCTCTGAAGTGGCTGAGCTGATCGTTCTAGACACTCGTTCAAGCCCAGAGGAATCGAGACCATAATCATGTTAACCGAGACCTTAACCAAATCGCCGAATACACCAAGGCGATTCTCTTTTTGGGTACGCCACATCATGGGTCTAGCCTCAGTAGATTGGGTTGGTGGGTAGCGCAAGCTCTCCGGCTACGCGGGTCGAACCCCTCCATCTTAGCCAACTTAGACTGCGATTCAGTTCCGCTATTCGACTTGCACAGCGACTTCACAGAGATTACTCGGGACGACTGGTATATATTTAACTTTTTCGAGCAACGGCGAATAGAGATTTTCCGGTTCGGGTTAATTCGGTGGGAACTATTTGTAAGTAAGGTCCTTTTGTAGGGGCGGGGGGTACTAATAGCAGTTATAGGGTGTTCCCGAGCAGTCCTCTACATATCATGGATCAAAGGTCCGAAATATCGGTCTCCCAGTCGACCATTACGGGCTGAACAAATTTGGGACAAGAAGTGAAAGTTACCAAATTATACTTTCGATACTTAAAGAAGTAACTGTATCCCGGTCTCGCTCGAAGAAGCGTCACTACGGCGTCTGAGAGCGACTGGAAACGCCGCCGCCGCCGTCCGCGACCATCCCCTTCTCCCGCGACCCCGACTTCGTCAACCGCGGAGACATTCTCGACCAGATCGACCAGCTATGTTCGAAGCCGGCTGCTCGGGTTGCGCTCGTAGGCCTGGGCGGTGTCGGCAAGTCGCAGCTGGCCATCGAGTTCGCCCACCGGATCGCCGCGCGGCACCCAGACACGTGGGTGTTCTGGGTCCATGCCGGCACGCAGGCGCGGGTCGATGAGGGCTTCCGGGCGATTGCCGACGCCGCCGAGCTGCCCGGTCGGAACGACCCCAAGGCCAACATCACACAGCTTGTCTACGGCTGGCTGTGCAACGAACGGAACGGCAAGTGGGTTATGGTCCTTGACAGTGCCGACGACCCCGACGTGTTCTTCGGCGCTGAACGACGTCCGCTAGCTGACTATCTTCCGCAGAGCCCACACGGGTCTCTTCTCGTCACAACACGTGATAAGTATCTAGCTTCTAGGCTAGTAGGGGGGTACAAGAATACAATCGAGATCGGGCCAATGGCGCAGAGTGATGCTCTGTTGCTCCTGGAGAAGAAGCTGGGATCGCTCTCGGATACTGATATGGCGGTGGATCTCGTGCGGGCGCTCGACCTTGTGCCGCTTGCCATCAGCCAGGCGGCGGCCTACATTCAGAGAATGTCGCCACGGAGCTCGGTCGAAAAGTATTTGGCCGAGTTCCGCAAGGGCGAAAGCAAGAGAGCCTGGCTTCTAAGTCATGACGAGGGCGAGTTTCGGCGAGAGGGAGGGGCTTCGAGTGCGATCCTTGCGACCTGGCAGATATCCTTCGAACATATCCGCTCTAAGAGAGCTTCGGCGGCAGATCTGCTCTCACTCATGAGCTTCTTCGACCGACAAGGCATTCCGGAGTCGTTGCTAAGGCCGCCTCACATGGACGGGGCAATACAGGAGAGGAGATCCGACGTACAGCACGATTTGGGATCCAACAGTAGCGATGACGAGATAGACAACGACGAGACGGACAACGGATTTGAAGACAATGTAGCAATGCTAACAAACTTTTGTCTCGTAACTGTAAGCGAGAGCGGAGACACGTTCGAGATGCACGGCCTCGTACAGCTGTCGACAAGGATGTGGCTGAAGGCCTGTGGGAGGGAGAAGGAATTTAAGCATCAGTTTGTGTCACGGATAGCCGCGCTGTTCCCACCCGGAGACTACAGTAACTGGGCGACGTGTCAGCGTCTCTTTCCACACGTTGAAAGGGCCGTAGACTACCGACCAGTGGAGAGCAAATTGGAGGAGGCATGGGCAACGCTGTTATACAATGGGGGATGGCATGCAGAATTGCAGGGTAGATATGATGTGGCAGAGCAAATGGCTCGTAAATCGAGGAGAAGCCGCAAGGAAATACTGGGAAGAGAAGACGAGCGAACGTTAGCTAGCACGTCGCTATGTGCAGAAGTGCTTCGGGATAAAGGACTATGGGACGAGGCCGAGAAGCTGGAAGTACAAGTAATGGAGACTCGCAAGACGAAGCTCGGGGCCGATCATCCCGACACGCTGACGAGCATGGCCCTCCTCTTCCTCCCCTTCTCTCTCTTTTCATCGCCGCCGATAAACTTTCGCCCCGCGCCCTATCTGTCTAGTTCCTATCCCAGTTCCTATCCCAATATGGCCCTCGCCCTCACTCCCGTCGAGCGCGTCACGCATGCGCGCTGCCGCGCCGCGGGCATTCCCTCCGACAGCCCGGAGTCGTAAGTCATCCTTATGGTTATGCCCGTTCGTACCGCTAATTAGTTGCGTAGTGCTGCTCGCCTGCCGCCCTGCGCGACTTGTACTCTCAGCTTCGCGCGGGCTGCTTCCGACTTGGGCGGCCCCGATGTGGCCGAAGACGCTATCCTCCGGGAGATTGCTAGCGACTTTTCCTGCTTCGTGAAGCGTGAGTATACTCTAATTCAGTTTCTTTCACTTACTAACATCCGTTTCCTAGGCGATGCTTTCCGTGCTACCGCCCCCTGCGAGCAAACCCGCAAGGCTCGTATCTGCGATCTGCCCCCTGACCTGGCACCCTTCGGAACCCGGCTGTAGGACAGCTTTGCGTCCTGGGAGTTAGCCGAGTTTGATGACTGCGACGCAGAGGAGACGGCCACCCGGAAGCAGGCTCTCATTACTGCCGCTGCCGACCTTTGGGAGGCGTATTCCGAATACCACATTAAGCACAATGATCTTTCGGACAATCCCACGCCCAAGGCTGTCCTGACTTGGACTACCGGCAAGCTCACCACTGAGGGTTGGCGCGTCCCTGCGCACCTTGCCCGCTTGCACAAGGCGGCCTTGATGCCCTCCCTCGGCCTCGCTGCTGACGATACCCCCGGTACTCCCGACGCTTCGGATGCCCCCGGTACTCCCGACGCCCCTGATGCCCTCGCCCCGGTTTCTGGCGTTGCCGACATTAATACCCTCGTTTTCCGCAACCTCCTCGCAACTCGCCTTACTGGCATCGAGAACAAGATTGGCGAGATGAATACTACCATCACCTCCTCTTCCCAGGATCAGGCGGCGTTCTTCACGAACGTGGTTGCGTCTGTTCGGGACTTAACCTTAGATGTTAAGAAGGAGATGTCTGAGATGGCCGCTGCCCTCCGTGTCCTGCAGGGCAAAGTAGAGGCGCTTTCCGAGGCTCAGGCGGAGGCTACTGATACGTCTATGGCGGAGGCTGCTGATTCCACTGGTGAGATTTGACCTAAGTTTGCGTTTCGATAGGCGCTATGGTAGCGCGCAGGGGTGAAGCCTCTGAGGAGGGGGTTCGATTCCCGTATCGAAGATAAGCGACTTGGGTTTTTGGTAATGATTAGTAGAGTATTATACCTAGGCAAGTCTCTGGCTGGCCCGGGCTCGTATTTGCCTCTTCTATGAGCCGTGGTTGGGAAAGGCGAATGATTTGGGTTTCAATTAGAAATTAATAGTGGTAGGAATGGGGATACTGCCCTACGATAGCTAGTCTCGTCAATATCACGCCTCCAACTTTCCCGCTTTTATTCTTGCAATGCGCTCTCTGTTCGTGAAGTGGGTACATAAAAGTGGTGTCAAGATGGCCGTGTCATTAAAGTGTCTTGATATTTGCGTGATCATGATCATTGACTTTGGCGTTTTGATTGTCAAGTGATGAGGCTGATTTGTTGATGGGGAGTTGGCTGCCTGGAGTGCCAAGCAATGTTGGACGCGAAACGGGATGTATCGCTGCAGGCCAAGTGGCTCGACCCACTAGCATTTATGCGTTCCATCTTTAACAGAGAAAGCAGAGATCAACGAAGAAACTTGGTAGTGACCGCATACTCCTTTCATAGATGAGCTGACAAGTGGATCCAGAATGAGCCAATCACACCCCAATTTCAAACGAGCAGCGCAACTTGCAGACAAGTAGTATAATCTAGTCTGACTGGGACTCATCTACAAAAATATTGGCGGCTGCGCCAGTAGTGTATTACGAGCCAATCTCTATAGGTATAATATGCCACAATGAAGGGGAAGAAGTAGGTTAAGGCAAGTACGGTTGTAGGCCAGCTTTGCTTCTTGGGCGCTTGCTGGCTTTGATGATTGCGCCCGCGAGGAGGTCGTCGATCGCAAGCAGGCCGTCGTGATCGCAGCCGTCGAACTGTGGGAGACTTACTGCGAGTACCACATCAACCATCCGCACCTCTCGACCAACCCGCGCCCTCGTGGCGTATTGGCCTGGGGTATCGGCGAGATTGTCACCCGTGGCTGGCGCGCTCCCGCTAAGCACGCTCGCCTCCGCAAGGCGGCTCCCCTGCCTCCCATCATGATCGATCGCGATGACGCCCCGGACTCCTCTGATGCTTCCGACGCCTCCAGCTCTTCTGATGCGCCGGACGCCTGCAGCTCCTCTGAGGCATCCGACACTGCCGATGTCCCTGCCCCCGTTCCGGACGCAGCCTTCCCGCTTTCCGGCAGCCCGTTCGTCGCACGCTTCACCGACCTCGAGGCTAAGATTGATGAGCTGGGCACCGCTGTCGCCTCCTACAACGAGACTCATGCAACCTCTTTCGCTGATGTAGTTGCTGCTATGGCGAACTTGACTGCCACCGTCAGGAAGGAGTTGTCGGCGGTGACTACTGCTATCGGTGCTCTGCAGGACCAGGTTGCCGCGCTCTCGGAGGTTCCGAAGGAGGATAATGAGGAGATTGACGATGTTGTTGGTGAGGCCTGATTTCGACGTCGCAGCTGATAGGCGCAACGGTAGCGCGCGAGGTTAGAGACCTCGAAGAGCAGGTTATCCGCCTTTGTCATAACGCCAATTGATTGATGCCTGAGGCACCTACATTTGCAGGCGCCTGTCGGGTTCAATTGAATTGACCCGACCCCTCGGTCGCATCTCCACTTGTGTAGGTCCTGTAGATTAGATAAGGATAGCTTGCATGCATATGGTCTTCGACCGCCGCAAGCTCCCCTCTCTAGATTCCAAAATCATCCCACTTTACACATACAATCAATCACATTCAAGACATTTTTTTTTTTTTTTTTTTTTCGTTCAGTCTATTGCGTTACTAGAGACACCCCACTTTAGCTTATGAATATAGCTTCAGCCAAAGCGGTGCGGCCGGTGGTATCATGCCGGCCTTTGCGAATATGGCCATCTCCGGGTCTCCAGTGGTATATAGGGCCGCGCAGCGGTATGCAGGCCATGTTGTGGCGCTATATCCTCAGGACGCGCTGATAATTTAGTTCTTCAATTCAACGCGTAGCTTGCTCAGTCTTTATAGGTTTGAAATCACTTTATAACGTGCAACGTATAGAATAACGTGAAATACATTATCAACCAAATCACCACTGCTATGTGAATATATCTGGTAGTACTCAGAATCACGTTAATTAGGCCGTCTAGCAAAAATCAAATGATCGGCTTGCTTTGGAGAAGAAGGTTGGGATCAGGAACGAACAACAGCTCCACCCTGCCTTGTCGTCGTTATATCTGGTAACTCCCTTGCTGCTCGGATTCTTATTTGGTTGTATCGTTTGGCCAAACGATGAAGGTACCTTGGCAATCTTTAACTTGCTGTCCTCCTTCGATACATCATCATTTACATTTACAAATCATAATACTCTCGATCCGTTGTGAACCCTTTCTAGTAAACTCTTGGGATGCCAGGATGCCAGGCGACCCTTGAGTGGTCATATGCCAAGCGTACATCGTCGAACCAATTAGATGCCGCAAACGGCCGCAAAGAGGTCGTCGAAATGCTGCTCGATAAGGGCGCCGACGTTAATGCACAAGGCGGATACTATGGTACGGCGCTCCAGGCGGCCTCGGAAGGAGGCTACAAAGAGGTTGTCAAGATGCTGCTCGATAAGGGCGCCGACGTTAATGCACAAGGCGGGCGCTACGGCACGACGCTCCAGGCGGCCTCGGAAGAAGGCCACAAAGAGGTCGTCTAGACAGAGGGCACTGACTGAGGATATGTATATATACCTGAGATTTAGTGCGGAGGTTAAGAATAGGTAACTCGCGAGTGTACCGACTCCCGTCGAGCTGGTGGCTAGCTGTCAGGTCGTTGTTCTGAGAATGGGAACGGGATGTAAATGTTGCGAACATCCAAGGATCCCTTTTTAAGCCGACGAAACATTTCGTCCCTGAGGATAGAGTTGATAAACAAACCTCCCTTAAATTATATGGATTGAATATAGCGCCGTTTCTAATATTTAAGATACGTTTCTTATATGGAAATAGAGAGAGTAAGACGTATATTCTATTTGTACCTAAGTATTAAATACTTCGCCTATGGGTATTAAACGTCAAAACCCTGCCCTATTTCTTGAATGATTTGGTTGTTTGTATGCCACTCCAATCGGCATTTTGGTTGAGCTGGGCAAGTGGGGAGGAGCTGGAAGCCGTGCACGCAGATCACTGTATATAATTCTCTCTGCTGATTATACTAATTCGCGAAGCTATCTTCTCTCCGTAATACCTCTGGATCCTCTCGGGCTTCCTTAAGAATCCGTCGGCAGCTTCCAGACGGGTACCCACTTTTGTTAGGGCGGAAGTGGGGGAGCGGGGTTAGGTTAGCTGGTCTTGGCACTTTTTACCGCTGCGGCGCCCGCGTGTCTGACCCCATGGACCCACCTGAGCACCTATCAAAATGGGGTCAGCAGGTCCACTGCCTCAGGGCGATCCATTCTGGGAAGGCGGGGAACGACGGGAAATGGATGTCATCACTATCAAATCCACTTGCACAGTGACTCTGGCTCCCAGCAATCGTCGAGTGCCGGGCCAGGTATTGGACGGTCGGCCAGCGGTATGCACTTACAAAGGAGAAGCTCCAAGCACTCCTGCATTGGTTCACGGTGCTACAGGTCCCGATAGTGATAGGGGTTCGATGGAGGTAACGAATGAATGATATCGACAACTTGAATCGTTCTCCCGTCACCAAGTCCACCTAAGGCACTTGGGTGCCCCTCATCATCATCAGTCATCACCACATCGCACATCGCACATCCCCTCGCACATCCCATCACCCCGTCACCTCGACTGCGCGTGAAACCCAAACGACGATCCAGTGATATCAGCTCTCTGTCTTTGTACTCTCACAGCAACCACTGTTTGCTGCTTGTCCCGTCTTTGATATCTCTTTTCTGCCCCTTTTAAGATTGAAATAATTAACACGATAGCTCTCCTCTCCGTGAACCTCCAGCGCATTCTCGACATCCTGTGCATGTAGATTGCTTTCTTCGCAATGCGCTCAAACAACGATGCCTCCGGGCGACCTCGCGGCTCCGACAATGATATCCCGTCTTTACGTCTACCGCCGGCGCCGCAAATGACGTTTTGCTTTGGCGATGAATCTTCAGTTGGTCCTCTGACGGGAAATCAGCCATCGTCGTTCGCTGGTCCTCACCGACACTTGCGCGACAACAAGAGGAAAGCTCACGGTGTTGTCGAGGGCTCCGAAACCCACCACGGAAGGGCTCGGGGTCTCTCCCATCATCGACACAATCATCACAGCACACCAGAGCCTGAAAAGGAAACCGGCGCAAGCGGGAGCGGGAGCACAAGAACACAACCCAAACACCAAAACAAAAGCTACACCCCAAACCAGATACTCGACACCTTGGACCACGTTATCGAAGATGCTGTTTACCCCAGGCCATCCTCTTGCACCCCGTCCAACGATTTATCCCAAGCACCCTTTAGCCCCTTTCTCTTTAGCACCGGTCCTGCGTCCGCCGTAAGCGATACATCGTCGCGGCGCAATTCCATCTGCCTCTCCGACGACTTTGACATGGCTAGTATTCCGCCTAGCGTCCACCCTGACGAGATCGACATTGAACACCAAAATGAGCATCTCGACTCTACCATGATGGACATCGGTAGTGCTCCCCAGCTCATCATGCCGAGCATCAACATGCCCAGCCGCCGACCCTTTACCGACCAAGGAAAGAGTATGGGCCGGCTCAAGGTCCTGATCGCCGGCGACAGCGGCGTAGGGAAGACTTCGTTGATCAAGGCTATCGTCCAGTCTTGCGAACACATTGTGCATGTTGATCCGATCACCCCGTCACCCATGTCACCCCAACCTAGCTTGAAGAGCTCGGTGACTCTAAAAGGAAAACAGACCAAAGGCGGTTCAAGGTCAAGCAGTAGGCGACAAAGCTCGAATGGAACAGGTCAAATCACCGAAGTTTATGCCAGCACAAAACCATATCCTCAGTGGTGGTCCGAGATCGATGACCTCAATGTGCTGAAACGGAGAAAGAGCATGGAGGACACAGTGTTGGACCGTAATATTTGCTTTGTCGATACTCCTGGCTATGGGAGTGGATCGTCTGTATGTTGCCCCTATTTGGGACTAACAGGATTGCGCTGACTTTCCCGACCAGAGTATGGATACCATCACGCCCGTGGTGCAGTATATCGAGTCCCAGATGCAGCGCATGAACGTTAATGCCCTCAATGATGGAGATATGTTGAATATGCTGGGTGGAGAGGGTGGTGTCCAGATTGATGTTGTTTTCTACCTGGTTTCAAACAGTAAGAGGCTCAAGTTGAAACCAAGGGACCTGATACTAACACCTTTTCTAGGACTTCGTCCTGTTGATATCGCCTATCTTGACCAACTCAGTCCTCTCACGAACATTATCTTCCTCTTATCTCATGCCGATCTAATGTCACCAGAGCAAATATCAGCCAGCAAGGAACAAATCCAGGCTCAACTCCGAGAAGCAAACATCCGCCCGTTTTCCTTCTCCATCACACCCTCGAAAACAGCCTCTTCATCAACCCTCTCTCCCTCGCCCACGGACCCCGCAGCACAGGGTGTATACGCCATCTCCAGCGCCGCCGGCTCCGACCACGACATGATGGACGCCAGTCTCCTTATGAGCACAGACTACGTCGAGCCCCTAGTGCCATCCGAACTTCCCCGGCTCGTCGAGCGCGTCTTCAGTCCCGACGGCGCCTCCTGGCTCCGCCACTCCGCAGCCCGCAAGTACGTCCAATGGCGCAAGGGATTAGTACCCGAGAAACCAGCTGTTCCGTCACCCACATCGCCTAGCAGTGTCTTTTCGCTATCTCCGTCATCCCATAACTCCCGCCCCGGCACCGCATCCTCCTTCCTCAGCAGGTACAACACATCCGGCCCCATCGGCGCCACCTCGTCCTACGCTCTCGCCCGCATAACGGACCACACCCAGCGCGAGGAGAGATTAGCGCAAGTAAGACTGGCCAACTGGGCCACCGAGCTGCAGAAGAGCTTGGCAAACGAGCGAGCGCAGTACGAAGCTCTGGCGCGCAACAAAAGAGCAGTTTGGTTAACCGAGAAAATCGGCGAGTGCGTCGTCGACGGAACTTTGGTTCCCATCTCTTCTACCAGCAGCAGCAGAAGTAGTAGGGACAGGAGCGGCTCGAACAGGAGCCTAAGCACGAGGAGAAGGAGAGGGGATACTTGGCAGAGTATCGATCGGCAGCAGCAGCAGCAGGAAATGGGACTTTTCGGATTCGGGTATCATCACCAGGGTCATCACTATCGGCAGCACCAACACCAGCACCAACACCAGCAACATAGGCAAAAGCAGAGACAAAGGGAGACGGATCCGCTGGGACTGATGGAGATTGCGGACGAATTGATGTATAAGAGCCTCATTGCGCTGGAGGTGCTGGGAAGTTTGGGGGTCTTGGGCGGGTTGGCTATTTGGATGGGGAGGACTATGCAGCTGCAGCCGTTGGAGTGGTTTGTGGGAGAGTGGAATCGGGTTTGGCGGTGATTGCTCACGTCAAGGAATTGGATTGTGGATTGGGAATTGGGGAGAAATAAGAGCTTAGTGGAGGATAGTGGAGGATAGTGGAGGATATATCCAGTGGTAGGTACATTTCTCATTCTGTGCTGTTGGGATATTTAACTGTCACTCGGGGTTTGAGAAATCGGCTTGGGTGTGGTTCAAGGTGGTCTGTGACTGCCAGATCACCTTGAATTCGGATGTTCCTGGGATACTCTTTGGAAAGGCTTTGGTATATACATAATGGGTTATAATTCGTTACGAGGAGGATTCATGATGGATGATTGGGATGGATGGATGGATCATGTACATAATGGGCCCTTGGACGATTGGTTGATCTAGGAATGAATATGTATGTATGTTCAGGTGTGGTATCATTTTGGATGGGCTCAAGGCATGGTCCAGGGGCATGTAAGACATAGGCTGGCGGAGTTTGGGATCACATCATTTTGGTTTAATGTACATCTGGGCTCTTCGTTATTGGTGGCTGTGACTTGTAACAAAAACGTGGACTCCGGAAACGCAGAGAGGGATGAATCTCTTCCAGAATTCAGCAACAATCCTAAGTGGCTACTTTTTATATCGATGCAGCATCACCAACCTTTGTCACAGCCATTTCTTTGCAACTCTCGACTTCGTCCTCACCGGTTCGTATCGTAAGAAGCACTCACAGCACAAAAATGAAGGGGAAAAAGCCAATACTGTTAACTATTTTGGGAACCTGAGAAAGGGAAGATTCGGGCGGGGTGGAGCCAAAAAAAAAAAAAAAAAAAAAGAAATGTTGGTCTCTCCCGCCGGGAATTGAACCCGGGTCTCGAGCGAATCGAACTGATGTTCAAGCTTGACAAGCTCACATACTGACCACTATACTACGGAAGATGTGCAACTGTTAATCAGCTGTCGTAGTTGGTTGTTGGAACAGTGCTTCGGCTGATGGTCTTATATACCGATATTTGACAAGGGTAAATCTTTTTTTGGGTTTGGAACATACATACACTTCTGAATTGATTTGATCGAAAATCAATGTTGTAATAGGTTTGAAGCAAACACATCTTGTTGAGTATATCTTGGTCTTGGAAGAAAGAAGATTAGAGAGGTTTGGTGCAGTTGCTTGTGGGTGTAGCATGGTTAATGTTTTGATGGCAACTGGGTGGGCACTGAACGGAAAGATAAGCAGAACAAGTAGGTAGGCACTCGAGAGTTTGGACAAAGTTTATTTGACTATACTTCTGAATAGGTAACTCTAAACCTTTTCATGAGACTACGGACACAAGGAAACTAACTGGGTATCATGCTATGATGCGCAAAGAAGAGTGACAGTCGCCGGCAATGCGACGACAAGGTGCACTGCAATGACTGAGGACTCGCGAAAACACGGGACAAGCAGAAAGAAACTACGACGACTGAGCCTGCATCGCGGCAGCTTCAGCATCCTCTCGCTTCCTCCGTTCTTCATCCCGCTTCGCCTGAGCGGCTTTCAGCCTCGCCATGGTAGCCGCGAAGCCACCACCACCGGCTGCTGCTGGTTTCGCAGGCTCTCCCGTAGCAGGAGCAGCTGTTTCCGTCGTCGGCACCGGTGCTGACTGTGGTGGCTGGGCTGCCTTGTTTTCGTCAGCCTTTGACTCTTCTTCTTGTGTCGATTTGGAGGTGGAGGTGGATGGGGGTTTGTCTTGGATGTCCTTGTCCTTTTCCGTGTCCTTGCCCGCGCCCGCTTTCTTGTCCGCTTTCCTCTTCTCCTTCTCTGCTTTCCGCTGTCGCTTCTCTTCGAGCTTGCGTTCTAGCTCGGCAATCTTGGAGTCGTAATCATCTCCTCCATTTTCGTCGACGCCGTCAGCTGCTGCTGGGGGCATCTCTGCTTGCTTTTTTTGTTCGGTACCGGTACCGCCCATTTTTACGTCCTCCTCCTCCTTCTTTCGTTTTTCCTTCTCAACAGCCTCAGCCATAGCCGCCTTCTGCTCCCTCTCCTCCGCCTCCCTCATCAACCTCCTCCTCTCCTCCAACTTCGCCCTCCCCTTCCTCGCCATCGCCTCCACCTCCGCCGCCACCTGCATTTTCCCCTTCTCCTCGTCCATCTTCTGCCGTTTCGCCGCCTCCTCGCGCTCGTGCAGCTCCTCTACCAGTTTTCTCCGGCGCGCCGACATGGCGTCCAGCGTCGCCTTCTTCTGCAGGATGGCGCGCATGCCGTTGTCGTAGGCGGCGCGCGCCTCGGCGTGGAGCAGCACATCGCGCGCCCGCTCGAGCCGCTCGTAGAGCAAAGGGTCGTAGGCGTCGCCGGCTTTGTCCGGGTGCGCGGTCAGAGCTTTGCGTCGGAAGGCGCGCCGGATGTCGGCTTCGGGAGAGGTGGCGTCGATTGGGATGGTCTCGGAGGTCAGGAGGGCGAAGAGGTCGTCGCCGCGCGAGGCGGCGTCGGAGGCGTATTTTATTAGGTCGTCGTTGTTCATTTTGTTTGTGGTCTTGGGGTTAAAGATTGGTGGTATGTGTTTGGGCAGATGATAGTTTGGATTGTCGGGTTGGAATCGGTCTGGGCTGGATTGTGGTGGATGACAGAAAAAGAGGAAGAAGAGAAAGAAGTGGAAAGTTTGGACAGTGGATGAGCCGGTGACGTTGGGTGGTAAACTTCGGCCGAAGAAAAACCACTGTGCAGTGACAGGCCGATGAAATTAACGTAACATGTTGTAATTACGCGCGCTCAAATTTAGCACCATCAGCCCTACGCGAATCTCATGGGTCCCTCGTCATTTTTTATTTATTTTTGGGTTTCTTCTTCTCGCAACATTCTCACATTTATCACCAGCTCTAACTGTGCCATTGTCGGGCAGTGCTCATAATTCATCATTCGTTTTGACTCATTATTTAACAAAACAAGGTATGGGTTTCAACAAAGCCCCAAACGCCCTCCGCTCAATCTGACGCGCCATGTACGCGAATCCCCTCATCGCTACCCTTAGTAGGTGGCAGCCAGCCTCTTCACCAGATACTGCCCACTGTTGATACCCTCATACTTCCTCTCCGACTCGGCCGCATATGTGCCCGGGATGGCCTCAATGTAGCTCTTGTGATTGGGGTTGCAGAAGTACCTAGGGAGATGTTTGGTCAGCCGCAGCTCATTCAAGACCCAACAAGAGGCAACACTTACGCAATGCTGTATCTGGGCGGGTGGACATCCTCTGGCTTGGGAGGCTCAACCACACGGTGGACGGTGCTCTTGATGGTATCGTTGCTCCACCTAGCCAACAGATCTCCAGCGTTGACAACCACAGTGTTCTCAATCGGCGTTGCATCGATGAACTGCCCATTGGGACTCTTCACCTGCAAACCACCACGCGAATCCTGGAACAGCAGGGTGATAGACCCATAGTCAGTGTGCTCGCCAGCGCGGACCTGGCCAGGGTTGATCTTGAACACCTCGCTCTTCACGGCCGGGTAGTGCAGCAGGCGCAGGATGTTATCGCCCACGTCGACGAAGCTGTCAAAGTAGTTGGCGTCGATGCCCATGCCGACGGCAATGGCGCGCATCACTTCGACGTGCAGCGCCTTGCACTGGTCGAAGAAGTTGGTCATGGTGCTCTTGAACCCCACGAGCTCGTCTTGTTCCGCCGGCCACGGGTTGGGGTGGCCCGGCTCGTCTTCGCGGCCGATCTCATAGCTCTCCTTGATATCGGGGGCGGCTGATCGGATCTTCTCGATCTCGGCGGGGTCGGTCAACTGCGTCACCTTCTCGCGGCCGGGGGCTGAGTAGCCACGGTTGGCCTCGGGCGTGGTCCAGCCAACCTCGAGCTTCGTCTCCTTGGGGAGCTTGAAGAACTTGGCTGAGGTGTTGAAGACATGCTCGCGGAAATCGGGCTGGATGGGGATGTTCTTGAGGTAGATGAAGCCGGCTGTTTGGAAGCCGTGGAGGATCGCCTTGGCCGTCTCGAGCTTCAGGGTCTCGTCTCCCTCGAGGAACTTGGAGAAGTCGATGAGCTATTCGACGGGTTAGTTACCCCCATGGGCGGGAAGGCCTTTGGTGAGTAGCAATTAGCATACCGGGATGACGAGTCCATCTTCGTTAACAGCAGCCTTTTCCATCTTGATCTCTACCTTTGGGTCGTTTCCTTTGATATTGGAACTGAGCACGCGAGGAGTTCAAAAGTCAACAAGCCGTCACGGGCGGGGTATCACAAGCAATTAAACAGAACAACACGGGCAACAAGTGAGGGGAGAACCACGGAGGTACGAACTCCATCATATGTTCTTTATCGGATCTTGACCCGATATATCACGTTTTATCGGCGGCACGGGCAAGTTTATCGCACTCCGAGACTCGAGTCGGGTTAGTTCCAGCCGGGATCTGTCGCTGCATGCAACGATAGCATGACCGAAACGGGCAGGCAACGGCCCACTCCGCGATCGCTCTTTGATAGCGTTTGCTTGATGTCAGTGGACAGCGTTGGAGATGCAGTTGCAGTGACTGTTTTCTCGCCTTCCAGAAGGGTGTTTCTGCTTACAAGTCGTTCTTATAAATCTCCACTTCTCATGATAAGCTTGTCTTCGCCCCCTCTCTGTTGCATTGTTGCATTTCACGATAACGACGGAATGTGGGGGAAAGGGGAGCTGGGTAGATCAAGGGCGGGGTATTAGTGATATGCTACCATAACACATACATCTTTCTTTTCGTAGTGTAACGCCTCTTCGTCATTGTTTAGTTCGGTTGTCCTTTCTTGTCTTGTTGTCCTACTTCACCAACCTCATTTCGCAACACCACATCCAAGCTTCACCACCTTGAAGCCTGACCATCTCCAAGCTTCACGATCCCCTCACTAAACTCCAAAACACTCAACCCCAACTTCTACTCCCCTCACCACCATCCCAATCCATCACCATGGGCTTCTGCGACGGCAAAGTAGTGGACATCCACACCCACATGTACCCCCCCGAATACGTCAAGATCCTCGAATCCCGCACCTCCATCCCCCTCGTGCGCTCCTTCCCCGGCTCCTCCGACCCGCGCCTCATCCTGCTCGACACCGAGGTTCCCATCCTCGAAGAAGCCGAAGCGGCCAAAGCGCGGGGCGAGACGCCCACCAACATCCCCGGCCGTCCCCTAACCAAACACTACTCCTCGCTCGACCAAAAGATGCACTTTATGGAAACCCACGAAATCGACATCAGCGTCGTCTCGCTCGCCAACCCGTGGCTCGACTTCCTCTCGGCCTCCGAGGCGGGACCTATAGCCGAGTCCATCAACGCCGACTTCAGCCGCATGTGCGAAGAAAAGTGCGGCCGCCTCTTCTTCTTCGCCGCTTTACCTCTGACCGCTTCGCAAGAGGTTATCCTCTCCTCCATCGCCCACGTTTCTTCTCTGCCTTACTGCCGGGGCGTCATCTTGGGCACCTCCGGGTTGGGAAAGGGGCTAGACGACCCCGATCTCCTGCCCATCTTCCAAGCCCTGGCCGACGCGCGCCTGATCATCTTTTTGCATCCGCACTACGGCCTGCCGAACGAAGTCTGGGGTCCCCGCGCCCAAGAAAATTACGGCCACGTCTTGCCTTTGGCCCTTGGGTTTCCGATGGAAACCACCATCGCTGTTACGAGGATGTACCTCGCGGGCGTGTTCGATCAGGTTCCGCAACTAAACATGCTGCTGGCGCACAGCGGCGGGACGCTGCCTTTCCTGGCGGGGAGGATAGAGTCGTGTATTTTGCACGACGGACATTTGCACGCTGCGGGGACGAAACCGAAGAAGACCATCTGGGAGGTGTTGAGCAGCCAGGTTTATCTCGACGCGGTGGTTTATAGCGATGTGGGGCTGAAGGCGGCGGTAGCAGCGAGCGGGCCCGAGGGCCATGAGAGGTTGATGTTTGGCACTGATCATCCGTTTTTCCCGCCGCTGGGGAGCGATGAGGAGGGCGAGTGGGAGAGCGTGACGTGGAATGGGGCGGCGGTGAGGAAGGCGTTTGGGGAGGATGCGGAGGGGGTGAAGGTGCAGAAAGTAATGGGCGGAAATGCGGTTAAGGTGTTGAACTTGAGGAGGGATGGGTGCCGATAAGCTTTGGCTAGGGGTTGCGTGGCAAGGAGGGATGGGTTGTAAGTAGATGTTATGTAGAGCATGTATATATACGACGGAGGGCTGGCCCTTTGCTTTATGATATAGAGAAAATGGATTGCGATGTAAAGCGAATGCTCTTTCAGAAAGCACCACAGCACTGCCTCCGTTCGGTGGAATCATCCGCTGAGAACCTTCGCATTCGCTCCAACCTGGAAACAAGCATCAGTACCTAATGGCCATGGCTCATCCCTTTGAGGAACCAACTCGTCCAAGACGTGGCTTATAGAAGCCGAGCCATACTTAATCCCCATGTAGGCACAAAAAAAACAGCTTGACAATGTTGTCCTATCTTCCAATCCGTTATTCAACATTTTATCTATCCACAGCCTACTCCCACCACTTATTTTTGGTATCATAACATCCCCCTTTCCCCCTCCACTTTGTTTCCTCCCCTCCCAATCCTCAACAAAACAACTTTACATAGCCCTCAACTTCTCCTTCCCCCTCTTCCTCTTCCCGCCCACCTCCTTCTGCTCCTCAATCTCCAACAACGCCTCCCTCTTCTTCTCGCCCACCACCTTGAGCGCCTCCCTGACCACTCTCGTCTCCAAGTTGACGCCATCCTCCGTCCACGCCTCCATCTGCCGTCCAACCCTCTGCTCAATCGCCAGCACCAGATCGACATCCCTCTGCCCCACAAACGTCACCGCATCACCCTTGCGGCCCGCACGCGCCGTACGACCGACACGATGAATGTAGTCGTCCGGATCGCGGGGGATGTCATAGTTCACAACGATTTTCACCTCGGGGATATCGAGACCTCTGGCCGCGACGTCGGTCGCCACCAGAATGCGCGCGGCCGAGGCGCGGAACCGACCGAGGTTGTCGATTCTCTGGCTCTGGGGGAGCTTCGAGTGCAGAGACGTAACGCGGTGGTCGAGCAAACGCAACAAGTGGTGCAAAAAGTCGGCCGTGCTCGTGCGGTTGCAGAAGATGATCACGCTCTTGTCGACGTTTTGGGGTGTCAAAAGGAACATGTGCAGATAGTGCTCGCGGTGGGTCACGGGCACCTGGAGGTGCATCTGTCGCAGGGTGGCGGGGATGGCGAGCCGCTGGGTGTCGACCTCGCACACGAAGACGGGGGCGCGGCCGGGGATGGGCGGGCGCTCGGAGAGGGCCTTGACTTCGGGCGTCATGGTGGCGGTGAAGAGCAGCGTTTGGCGCTCGGAGGGCGGGGGGAGGACGGAGAAGCATTCTTCGACGTCCGGGAGCATGGAGCCGTGGCCGCTGTTTGCGAGCAAGCGGTCGGCTTCGTCGAGCACGATGAACTTGACTCGGCGCAGGCCGCAGATGGTGTCCTCGCCTGAGGTGCGGATGTGGTCGGCGAGACGGCCGGGGGTGGCGATGACGAGGTGCGGGCGGTTGGCGAGGTCGATGGCTTGTTTGCGCATGTCGGAGCCGCCGGTGATGAGGACGGCTTTGAGAACGTGGGGTTGCGAGAGGGCGATGACTTGTTCCATGATTTGGAGGGCGAGTTCGCTGCGGCATGTGGTTAGTCTCTACCTATTGTTTACTTACGAGGTTTCAGGGGTGAGTTGAGGATTTCAACGGAAGCTTACCGAGTTGGTGTGAGGATGAGACCAAAGATGGCAGATGGGTTGGCAGCCCATTGCTGGAGAACGGGAACGGCAAACGCTACCGTCTTACCCGAACCTGTCCTACTGCCACCGATGCAGTCCCTGCCCTTGAGAATCTCGGGTATACAACCCTTTTGAATGCCGGTTGGCCGCTTGATGGCCATGTTGGCGAGAGACTGGACCAGCCATGGGCGGACATTGAGTGCGTCGAAGGTGGTGTTGGCGTCGATAGGAACAGAAACTGTGCTGGCAGGCTCTGGTACTGGGAGGGCAGGTGCTGTCTCTTCGGTCTTCTCTGTCTTGGGTGCCTCGGGTTGCTTTTTCTTGATGCGGGATGGGACGTTGTTGAAGACAGGCTTGACGGGCGCGACGGGTGTGTCATCCTCTTCCTCATCTTCAAGCTGAGTAACAATGTCGTCGATGGTGGGTGAGGTACGACGTCGTTTCCTGGGGGCGGAGCTGTCTAGCGAGTCGGAATCTGAGTCTGAGCCTGACGTGGCGCTCTGGTTCTCCTCGTCGTCATCTTCGTCTGAAACGTCCTCCTCTGAATCGTGTTCATCCTCGTCCTCGTCTTCCTCCTCTTCATCTGAGCCAGCCAGCTCATCCTCCACATCTAGCTCAGACCCAAAGTCGGACTCATCCTCAGAGTGGTCGGATTGTTCATCAACCTCCTCAGTGACGGCGGGCGCCTTGTTGACCCTGGATTTAGGAATGACATTGGCATTGGCCTTTTTGGCCTTTGCGGCTGTGGCGGACGGCATTGCTGGTTTGTTACTTTTCTTTTCGGATTTGAATGACTGATTCTAGAACAAGTTGTTTATGCAGAGCCGTTGTTGAAGATTCCGTCAATTTCGGTTTCGCTACAGGACCGTGAAGGGCGCGTCTGGCAGATTCGATGGTGTTGTGAAGTTGATTATCAGTCGATAAACTGATAACGACTGCAATCGCCATCAAAATTCAAAATTTTTGGTTCAGCAAGGTTCTTGGGAGTGACCGAAACGGGAAAGCGTGCTGTAATGTCACGTTCAGCTCCATTACGTAAGCATGGCATTCAGACTTATGCTTCAAACAACGACAGACCCGGAACCCTCACCCCGCCATCCTCCATTTCCCATGTTTATGGTCTACGCAGAACGACTCCGGGAGGGCTGAATACACTGGGTATCGTGAGAGCATTCCCATTTCCTTCGAGTTTCTCTCTTGCCCGACGTCCTTCCATTCACGAACTTCCAGATCGCCAAGACCCGACGCCTGCACACGGACCGCAAGCAGGCCTGGGCCCGGGGTAGCATCAAGACCCACCAAGGTGCCTTGAAACGCATGCCGAAGCGCCGGCGAACCGCCAACGTCGCATAGCAAGCGTGAGCCACCAAACCATGGGCGCTTAAGTTTTGGACTGTGTTTTGGTTTCCACATTCCATCTCATGGAATACGAAGAAGCCGTTGCTTTGATCTTCATAGTGCGACTTCTGGGCGCTTGGAAGAATGCAAAGGATAGGAGAGTTCTATCAGGGATTCTGTCAGAAAGCATGCCGAGCTCGTGGTGGTGTTATGCTGATTGCACTGTTTCCGAATAACGTCTACTTCCCCCATCCTGTGGCATCATCAGTGCCACTCAAGAACAGTGGTTGACGATAATCCCAAGGCTGCGGATCCCTATGGCCGCCGCTAAACGGGCCAAGTCTGGAGTGGAACCCACGGTAGGGCACGCGAGCTTGCCCCGGCGATGCATGGGCTATCGGCCCTTACCCAAGGCTTGCTTGCCTTGCCATCTGACGGTGATGGTCCTCAGTCAGCACTCGGGCATTTCAATAAACAATGTTGTGGTACAGTACTTTACCGGAACAGTGGCTTACCGATTTGGCCCCCAACTACCCCCATTGAGCAAGCAGGCAAACATGCCCGAGCAAGGTGTCAGCATAACAATGTCTAGCAGTCAAGGAGGCAGAAGTGTTTTGTTTACATGGTATGGTCATGCCCCGAGTGGTAGATGAGTTCTATTAGCTATGCTTTCCGCTCATCTCGATTCGCATATGCTGAGGTCCTTCATTGTCATTCATAACTTCTCACCTGCCTCTGCATAGTAAACGAATGTGTTGATCAAAGCAAGCATGTTTCATCCACCTGGTTGGTTCCCTAGGATGATGACGTTAATCTCAACGCCTGAGCTGACTATGCCGCAGTTTGGCTGGCCGTCTCTCCTGAAACGCCGCTCACCCACAGTGAACCGAGAGGCACAGTGTCTCTCAACGACGTAGACAGTCCTTTCTGTGCCTCTCTGCTCAAGCACTTTGAGAGAAGAAGAATTGTGCGCCGTGCCCACATGCCGCAGCCCTCGCTGAAGATGCCGATGCCCCCCTGGTGGTGTAAGAACGACAAGGCGAGACTGGTGGAATCGCGGGAGGGTTGAAGCGAAAGACGGGCCTGACTGGCCAGTGGGAGTGTCGATCTGATGCCCTGTGGCGGCTTTCCAATCTGCCAATCAGAGGTTTAGAACGACCGCTGTAAGTCTAGTACCGGTAATTCTCACCCGATTTGATTTCACTCAAATAGGTATAGCACCGGGGATATCTGACCTAGCAAGTGTCAGATGTGACAGTGCAGAATTGATTGATTGAAGAGAGTGTCTGACTTGCCTAGAAGGTATGGGGGGTGCTGGGGTAACCCAGATATGCCCAGAAATCAGGCAATATCAGGTAGCTGGAGCGCTAGCCTCTATAGAGTATGGCTAAAACCACCCTTAAATCTAATACACCCCCTTACTTGCAGACCTTCTAAATAGGGTAAAAGTGAAGCTATTTATAGAATCTCTCTTCTAGTACGTTAATTTCTCTAGCCAAATTATAAATATTCTCTAAAACATCATCTAGAATCTCTTTATCCATCCCTATCTCCTTACAAGCTAGCGCATTCGTTATTCCTATTAATTTCCGGAATTTCTCGTAATCTAATTGTCTTAAAACCTTCGTTAATCTATCGGTTAATATTTTCTTCGTTTTTAAATATCCTACTTCAATCCTTCCTTCTATAATTTCTTATTTTAATTAGTAATAATAGATATCGACGTACTTCAATTTAATTATTAACTTTACTACTTTAATAATTAATATACAAATCGTCTATATATTATTATAACCGATTACGGGTATATTCTTATTGAAGGGAATATTAATCTCCTTATATAAACGTATAATAGTAATAGTTTCTTTAATAGCGTTTAAAATCGATAGTAGCTCTACTTTTATTATTAAAGTAAATACCGTCTTTTATTTAATTGTACCCTAATAAATCAAATTATTAAAGACTTTTATTGTAAACTTATATACACTTTTTCGATTTAAAGAATTATCAGCGTACGATGTATTTAAAGCGATTTTGAACTTTGTAAACGTATTATAATAAAGGGAGAAATTAGGGTAATATTAAAAGTAATGTAAGATTTTATTAATAACTTTACAATATTGAGGACCGGGATTGTAATTGTAGCGAATT